GAGGGCAGCTGGCTCTTTTGTTGCCTCTCTCTCAAGGTGTCTCCCTTCCACGTATTCCCCTCTGCTCCCTTCCCGTCCCTCCAGATAGCAGCAGCACCACCAGTCAGGCGCACACTATTCAACCTCGCGTATTCTCGGCGCCTGGCGGCCGTTGAGGGCAGCTGGCTCTTTTGTTGCCTCTCTCTCAAGGTGTCTCCCTTCCACGTATTCCCCTCTGCTCCCTTCCCGTCCCTCCAGATAGCAGCAGCACCACCAGTCAGGCGCACACTATTCAACCTCGCGTATTCTCGGCGCCTGGCGGCCGTTGAGGGCAGCTGGCTCTTTTGTTGCCTCTCTCTCAAGGTGTCTCCCTTCCACGTATTCCCCTCTGCTCCCTTCCCGTCCCTCCAGATAGCAGCGGCACCACCAGTCAGGCGCACACTATTCAACCTCGCGTATTCTCGGCGCCTGGCGGCCGTTGAGGGCAGCTGGCTCTTTTGTTGCCTCTCTCTCAAGGTGTCTCCCTTCCACGTATTCCCCTCTGCTCCCTTCCCGTCCCTCCAGATAGCAGCAGCACCACTGGTCAGGCGCACACTATTCAACCTCGCGTATTCACGCCGCCTAGCAGCTATCGAGGGCAGCTGGTTTGGCGCGTGGGGTGTGGAGCGGCTCTTCTGGGATCTGCTGGTGTTTAGAAAGGTGCGTTGCGGTGAGAGTGGTAGTGATGACGGTGGTGGTGAAGAGGGGGCGAAATGGGGCTAATAGGTGGGAGGGGTGGTCACTGCCTTGTCGCCATTGAGGGCAGCTGGTTCGGTGCGTGGGGCGTGGAACGGTTGTTTTGGGACCTGCTGGTGTTTAGAAAGGTGTGTTGCGGTGAGAGATTCGTGGGAGGCTAAGGGGGTGAGGGGGTATGTATCTGTGGGGCGGGCACTGCCTGGCTGCCAAGGGGTTCGGCGCGCGGGGCGTGGAGGGGTGTGGAGCGGTGTGGAGTGGTTGCTGTGGTCTACTTGAATGGTCCTTTATTGACATGCCTTCCATGCCTCTTGTCACATGTCTCTCCCCATGCCTCCCGTCACATGTCTCTCCCCATCCCCCACATCTCCCCCCACCAGGTGCGGGCAGCAGTGGGCGGGCATCTGCGATTCATGCTATCAGGGGGGGCTCCTCTCTCTCCCGACTCGCAACGATTCATGAACATCTGCTTCAAGTGAGCTTTGGCTGGGCTTTAAGCGTTTGGTAGGCCTAAACCCAAAACTTTTGGCGCTGCCTACAGCAGCCCCATCAGCCAGGGCTATAGCCTCACAGAGACAGCGGGGAGACGGAGAGGGTGTGGTGGGGGGGAAACCATCAGCCAGGGCTACGGCCTCACAGAGACAGCCGGGAGAAGGAGGGGGGAAACCTCACAACGTGTGCTCTTATCTTCGTCTCTGCCGCCTCCCTCCCCTCCCTCCCCTCCCTCCTCCCCTGCCTCTCCCCTTCGCGTGTGCACCTTGCCTGCAGCATCCCAATCAGCCTCGGCTACAGCCTCACAGCGACAGCAGCGAGGGGACCCTTCAAGTGAGACTGGTTTCTCATCATTGTGTCCTCCTTTCCTCCCACCCCTCCTCCCTAAACCTCATGGCCACAGCATCCCCATCAGCCAGGGCTACGGGCTGACAGAGACAGCAGCGGGGGGGACCTTCTCAGAGTGGGACGACTCCTCTGTGGGCCGCGTGGGGCCGCCCATTCCCTGCAACCTCATTCGGGTGGGTCTGATAATATGGGTGGGCGGTTCAGTCAGGTGGGTTGCATAAGATGGTTGAGCGGTTCAGTCAGAAGGTTGCATAAGATGGTTGAGTGGTTCAGTCAGAAGGTTGTATAAGATGGTTGAGCAGTTGCCAATTTTCGATATTTTTGTTTTATCAACGCGACGTTGTCGCAGGGATCGGGAATGCCTAGGACGAGGTACCAGTCAACGTCGAGCGTCGGAGAAAGGCCGTCGAGCGTCGCAAACAGGGAACGACATCTCCTGTTTGCGACGCTTGACGGCCTTTCTCAGATGGAGGCCATTCTCGACGTTCAAGAAGCCTTTGCGAAGCCGATATTCGGTGTCGGTCATGGCGAGGTGGACTGGTACCTCGTCTTAGGTGTTTCCGATTCTTGCGACAACGTCGCGTTGTTAGAACAAAAACATTGAAAATTGGCGCTGCTGTTGCCACATGCCCCTCCCCCCACATGCCCCTCCCCCACATGTCCGTCCCCCACATGCCCCTCCCCCACATGTCCCTCCCCCCACATGCCCCTCCCCCGCATGCCCGTCCCCCCACATGCCCCTCCCCCCACATGCCCCTTCCCCTACATGCCCCTCCCCCGCATGCCCGTCCCCCCACATGCCCCTCCCCCTACATGCCCCTTCCCCCACATGCCCCTCCCCCCTCATGTCCCTCCCCCCTCATGCCCCTCCCCCCACATGCCCCTCCCCCCACATGCCCCTCCCCCCACATGCCCCTTCCCCCACATGCCCCCCCCCCACATGCCCCTCCCACATGCCCCTTCCACATGCCCCTTCCACATGCCCCTCCCCCACATGCCCCTCCCCCACATGCTGATCGACTTGGTGGAGGGTGTTTACTGCACCACAGACCACAATGTAATCTTTCCCTCTATTCTTCACTTCCACACACACCGCCAGTGTTCCTGCCCCTCCCCCTTTCGCCCTCATAGCTAATTGCCTGGGAGGAGGGTGGTTACCGCCCCATGGACTTCTTGCATCCCAGGGGGGGGATTTTGATCGGGGGGACCAACTCTCACTCCCCATATCTAGCTTCCCCTCGCTCCTCCCTATGCATCTTCCCCACTTGGCCCCCTCAGCTAATCGACTAGGAGGAGGGCAGTTACTGCACGATAAACCACAGACTGATTGTTCCCCCTCTTCCTCTCTTCCCCACACACCTTTCGTGTGCCCGCTCCTCCTTCTCTTGCCCCTCCCCCTCTCGCCCCCTTCAGCTAATCGACTGGGAGGAGGGTGGTTACCGCACGACAGACCACCCGCACCCGCGGGGGGAGATTCTGATTGGCGGGCCGAACGTGAGCCTGGGGTACTGGAAGGACAAGGAGAAGACAGCTGAGGTGTTCTCGGTGAGTGGTTGACTTGCTTGACTTTTGAGAATTTCCAAAGACAGCATGGGGAGTACGTCTCCCACACGCCCTTGCACCCTCTCAGCACGGGGGGTACGGCTCCCTCGGCAAGGTTGAGGCAGTGCCCAACGTGAGCCTAGGTCGCTGGAAGGACAAGGAGAAGATTGCAGCGGTGTTCTCGGTGAGCGGTTGACTTGCTTGACTTGGCTGACCTGAATCACTGGAGTTCCTGCACAGCATTAGGTGGTTTCTCACGGCCGAGGCAACAATGGCATGGCATGTCCTGATAGCGGTGCTTTAATAGTAGTATCCCGCTCCCACTCCCCCCTTCCTCCTCCCCAAGACTGCATGTGCAGGACTGCAGCATGGGGAGTACGTCTCCCACACGCCCTTGAGTGGCCCTCTCTGCCCACGTCTCCCTCGGCAAGGTCGAGGCCGTGCTGCAAGTCAGCCCCTCTATTTCCCCCCTTCTTCCCTCCTCCCCTCCTCCGCTCCTCCCTTTCTTCCCTCCTTCCCCTGCTGCTTCCATCCCTCTTTCCCCCTCCTCCCCTCCCCCCCTCTCCCCCACCCAACATCAGGAGGACCAACACGGAATGAGGTGGTTCCGCACGGGCGACATCGGGTTGGTTCACCCAGATGGGTGCATTCAGATCATCGACCGCAAGAAGGACATAGTCAAGCTGCAGCACGGGGAGTACGTCTCCCTGGGGAAGGTCGAGGCCGTGCTGCAAGTCAGCCCCTTTGTTGACAACCTGCTCGTTTTTGCGGATTCAACTAAGGCGTTTGCGGTGGCGCTGGTGGTGCCGGTGCCGGCTGCAGTGGCGGATTTCGCCAAGAGCAGAGGGATTGAGGAGGAGGACTATGCGAAGCTGTGTGGGAGGGAGGACGTGGTTGCTGAGGTGTTGAGATGCCTGCAGAAGGTGGGTCCTTTCCCAGCTCTGCTTTTTGATTGTCCTGGTTGACCTGGTTGACCAGAGGAGGAGGACAATGATGCGAAACTGTGTGTGCGGGAGGGCGTGGTGGCTGGGGTGCTTTCTTTCAAATGCACAAGCCATCCTCTCTTTCATTCTATATTCAATTCTGTCTTCCAATCTGCCTTACACACTTCCTTCCATCCTTCTCTTTTTCCAGGTGAGCAAGGACGCAGGGCTCAACAAGTTTGAGGTGCCCGCAAGGATCAAGCTGCTGCCCGACCCATGGCTGCCCGAAACCGGCCTCGTGACACCTGCCCTGAAAATCAAGCGCAACGTGATCCATAAAACCTTCGCCAAGGAGTTGAAAGAGCTGTATGAGTAGCTACATGAATATTGTGTTGATTCTTATACAGGACACTGGCTGTAGTGTCTATCTACTCTACAGTCTGCTCTGAAGAATATCCATAAGGCGTTTGCCAAGGAGTTAAAATTTCTGTGTAGGGTAGGGTTTAGGGTACTGAACATGTGGTTACTGCTCTACACAAGTGGTTACTGGATAGTTAAGACTGCACAACCTCAGTAAGGGGATAGGTAAAGGAAGGTACATTCCCAGAGGGGACAAAAGCTTGGGTGGGATAGAGGGTGACACGACACCTCACTTTGAGGAGCAACTGGTTGTGAAATCGCAACTGCGCGATAGAGACCACTCGTGTGCTGCTTGCTCGCATTGTGTGTACCATTGCAAAAACGGTGTCCAAAATCCTTTTACATGGCTCGCCTACGATGCTCTTGGCCATGACATTGAAAGGTTGGCCCACGATCCATACACAAAAATTGCGCGAGGAGGAGCAATACGCTACATGCCCTTTATTTCTATAATGATGTCCCACCTGGGCATAGCTCCAGCGGATCGACGTGTGACTTCTAATAAAAAAAGCAGTTGAGTCCTTCTGTCCTGACATGTCGATATCCATTTATTCGCCTGCCCGCCTACACGTAAAGAGGTTGCACCGCCAGCACCGACCGCACGACGTGGCCAAACTGGTCCTTCCATGTCAGGCTTCCAAATTGGAAATTTCTAGGGGACGCCGTTGCGACAGTGAAGCGGACAGTGAACGTTACAGTCCCCATTGGGGGGATCGTGAATTGATTTGGAGTTATCTCGGTAATAACACCAGGCGGTGTAACGACAGTCGAAGTGTAGCTGGATACTGTATTCGCGACGTTCTGCACCGTTCGCGACACCAGCACCGTTTTATTCAACCTTGAGACCGAAATCGTGGGGCGGTTCAGATCGTACGCCGGAGTTGGGGACATCTTCGTGCCAATTGGCGCGAACGACTTGGCGGTCACCGAATTCTGCCCGGCAAGAAAGTTGTAAAAATCCGCAGCGTTGGCGGCAAAAGTGAGTCCAGGGTCCATCAGACCGTTGAGGTTGACGTGTCCCGCTCCCATATCCCACGGCGTCGCCGCTTTTCCAGAAGAACCCGTTACGATCGGCCCGTTTTTGTTATTAGTGACGTTCGCTGTAGTAATAATCGCGGACATAACTCGCGACGGCGTCCAATCAGGGTATCTTTCGACGAGCAGCGCCGCGATTCCCGCCATGTGCGGAGTAGCCATAGAGGTTCCGCTAAGCATAGCGTACGCAGGTGTAGAAGCCGATGCGAGGGACGCGGAGCGCGCAGCGGCCCATAGGGAAACGCCGGGACCAATTACATCGGGCTTTAAGATGTCGTTGGTGGGGAAAGAGAGCTTGGTTGCGTCAGCGGGGTTGACGAGCGGACCAGCAGACGAGAAATACGCGACTTCGGGTGCTTGATCGGTAGCTACGTCCGTTTTGAAGGTGTAGGAAAAGGACGCAGTCGGGCTGGTGGAGGGGAGAGCGAGGGGGAGCGCGGGGAGGAGCGGGGGGAAGGGCGAGAAAGAGGAGGACTTTTGGGTAGGGGACGGGAGAGAACTTGGGAGGGGAAATGCATGCGTGCGGAATGGCTGGGGGTATGCATGCGTGGGGTATTCAAGGAACATGGGGAGTGGTATGCTGGGATGGGAGTATTACGTGGGTGTAGCATACGTATGGGCACAACCCATGCCATTCACAGAAAGCGAGTGTAATAACCCCTTACCTGACCATGGTGCGGGTGTACAAGCGCAAAATTTTCGTCTCGTTCACCTCTGCTCCCATGACAGGCAGCCGAGACTCATAAATCGGATACGGTCTCGCTGCAGGTGGCACATCCACCACAATCACAGCCCTGCCGCCCTTCGCAGCAACCTCTGCTGCCTTGCTGCCTGTGCTGGTCCATCCATACGAGCACAGCACGATTTTGCCGGCGATCTTGGTGGTGTTCAGTGCGCCTGCGGAGCAGTACTGGCCCTGGCGGGTGGAGGAGGGGAACGGGAGGACGGGGAGGAGAAGAGAAATGTTGATGCCGGTGCTGGTCTATCCATATGAGCACAGCAATTTTGGTGGAATTGAGTGAGCCTGCATAGGAGTAGTGGCCCTGGAGGCTGGGGGATGAAGTACCCAGTAAGCACCGAGCCAAAACCATACAGCACATCTGCCTTTCCCCACACTCACCTCGGTCTCAGTCTTCCCTGCTGCCCGCACTGCTAACCCATCCACCAGCCCCAACCCCTCTGCACCGCTACAATGCCACTGCCGCACCTTGGTGAATGACACAAGATGCTTCACAGTCATGCGCGACTGCTCCTCCCCACACGCACCTCGGTCTCAGTCTTCCCAGCTGCCCGTGCTGCTAACCCATCCGCCAACCCGAATTTCTGCACCGGCACGTTCCCCGAGCCAAAGCCACACAGCCTCACGGAATCTGAGACTCAGGCATCTGCCTTTCCCCACACTCACCTCGGTCTCTGTCTTCCCAGCTGCCCGCGCTGCTAACCCATCCGCCAGCCCAATTTTCTGCACCGGCACATTTCCTGAGCCAAACCCGTACAGCTTCAAGACCCGCCCGTCGCCCAGCGTGGCTGAAGAAACGTAGCTGCGAGCGATGGTGCTGCAGGGAGGAAAGGAGGAAAGGAAAAGAGGGAGAAGAGGTTGAGACCGGAAGCCACAAACCTGTACAGCTTCAAGACCCACCCGTCGCCCAGCGTGCCTGAGGAAACATAGCTGCGAGCAATGGTGCTGCAGGGAGGGAGAGGAAAGGAATAGAAAAGGGAAACAAGGGTCAGGCATGGCTGGGGTGGTGAATCACTCGCCACACGCGCATGGCTTAGAAAACACATAATGCCACCCCCCTCAGGGAACCTAGGCACTCGTTTTGCGCTAACAAAAGATCACCTGATAGCTCACCTGATGCCGATAGAAAAGCACCTGGAAACCCACCTGGAAACCCACCTGGCGCCAACAGTGAGGTAGAACGGCGAGAAGTTGGAGATGCTTCGATACATGGAAGAGGTGAGAGGAGGCGGACCAGAGTTCCCTGCCGCATAAACCACCACCGTCCCTGCCAGATTCGCGTATAAATACGGCAGATCGCTAAAATACGTGGCACTGGGGTCTGCGCCGCCCAGGGAGAGCGAGATGACGTCAACCCCGTCAGCGACAGCCGCGTTGACTGCTGCCTCCACGTCAGCATACGTGGCAGTGGTCCCGCCGGCGTTGGCGTTGCCCCAGAAGACCTTGTAGGCTGCGAGGAAGGCCCGGGGGGCCATGCCGGTGGCGTTGCCAATGGCTGTCTTGCGGGGAGGTAGCACTATGGGCACGTTGCTGTTCCCTGCTGCCGCCCTGCATTATTGGGTGGGGAAGGGGGTACGAAGGAGGGAAGAGTAAAAAAGACGTTGGGTGTTTCAGCTGTACAAGCACTGAGAGCCACAGGCACCACAGACGCTGGGCGCCATACCGGTGGCGTTGCCGATGGTCGTCTTGCGGGGAGGTAGCACAATGGAGATATTACCTGCTGCCGCTCTGCATTATTTGGAGGGCGCGAAGGCGGAAGGGGAGGGTGTGGAGGGGAGGGGAGGGGAGGTGAGGGGAGGGGGTTGGGGAGAGGGTAAGTGAGAGGCAGGGGGGGACGATGAAACAACTTTGCATACTCAGCCATTGAATGGATGAGATGGAGGGAGGAGTAGGCAAGAGGGATTTGATCACTCACGATGCACACCAGGTGCCGTGCCCATCCGCATCCCGAGCCGATGCCCAATCAGCTCGCAAGTCTTCCTGCCCGAACCACGTCCGGAACGCGGCGTTGAAAAACCTCGCACCAATCACCTTTCTGTTGCACTTGAAATCAGCTGTCACCTGACAGGTGCCTTTCCAGGTAGGTGGAGGGTTGGGATATTGAAGGTCAGGAGAAGTGGCATCCGAGGAAAATGAAGGGTGTTCCGGCCAAATACCCGTGTCGACTATTCCGACCACCACGCCCTCTCCTGCCCGCTCGCGGCCCCGGGCAGTCCAGAGAGTCCCGGGCAGGTTTAGAAAGTTTGCAGAGTCGGTGGTGAGCTTGCTGATTCGGTAGTTGGCTTTGACTTCGGCAACTGCTGGGTGCCGCTTCAGCTGCTGCAGCTGCTTTGGCGTCAAACGCGCCACAAATGCATTGCTGACGTGTTTGAATCTGGCAAAGGAGAGAGAAACAGAAGGGACAGTGAGTTGGCAGTGGGATATGGAGAATAGAAGAGGTGTATGCGTTCCTGTTGGAAGTCAAAGAAACATACAAAAAATGCAGTATGCGTCTACATTAATTGCTATAAATAGGTGTTACAAGAAACTCACTTGTACAGTACATTCGCGCGCGGCAGGCACACGTCATTCGCAACTCCATCCTGCAGCCGATCGAGCCACTGCTTGAACTGCGCGACAGCTGGCGATCCCAGGTTCAGTCGCGTCGATTGGCGATTCGCTCTGCGACGTCCCCTGCGAATCCGCCCAGCTACAGAGTTGATGACGTCAGACACAGAGTCTCTGACAGCCTCTGCTGCCGTGGCGGCAATCCCGTTGATTCCGCCGGTGTATCCCGCGATTGGCGGGGCGGCGCGCAGGCGGACGATGTACACGTCAGATACGTCAGACGGGACAACCTTGTCGACTGGCTGGTCCAGTAGCGGGATTTCCGGCGGGTTTCCCGTTACATCGGTGGTAGACTCGTTGAAGGATTCTCCTGGCGTTTCAGAAGTCGGCGCAGGTTGCGATTCTGGCGCAGCTTCAGGCGGAATTTCAGGTGTGGGCGGCGGAGCGGCTTGTGAGGTGTCATTTTGCGAAGGTTGCTGGGGCTCCAAGATGATCTCTGATTGGTCAGCTGCAAACGGAACGAGGAACGTGATAAGGCGTACGCATGACACTTCGGAAACATTGCGAAGGCACCAGAAGAAAGCCTTTTAATCACATTGGTCAAGCTCTCACCTTGTTGCCCGTAAACGAGGCTGCTTTTAGCGAGGATAAGTAGTGCAAGCAGACAGCCCACGCTGGCCCGTGACTGGGAAATGGAGCGACATCGGCGAATCTCCATCGGACGCACCAACAGTTCGCGGACCTTTTCGCGTACCAGCTCTTCTTGAGGCGCCTCGAAAGAAGCCTTCTGTATCAGCGTCTGCGACGAACTTGGGAATCCAGACCCTGGTTACAGGAAAGGTAGTCGATATTAGGTACAGACTTATCACAAGAGAAAAGTGCGGATCTCGGACTTTCTTCAGATGGGACGGAGTCCTGAACAAAGCGTCGGCGAGAATCAGGAACCAGGTCTGAGCGCGTCGTGTTCGTGACGCTGGACTGATTTAGGGTTCGGTAGAATGAGCTTCTTCTGACGTATACTACCGACCGTACCAACTAGTGGGCAATGGCGTGACAGGCAAATTGGCTCTTCGCTTCCGTCGCCACGGATAACGAGTTTCGACGTTTCCAGCAACGCACATTCGTACTACTACTTTAGAGACGAGCCTCGCCATTGACGCAACTTGGCTTGGCTCGCCAAGGAGCACGTTTCTCCGAAACCGCGCGAAATTCGCCAGCGCTGCGAGCTGCTGCCAACTAGCTGCTGCGCCAACTCTCTCAGCAGCGGACTTGCGCCACGAGCCTCCAGCCGGGAACTCCGCTGCCTTGTGGCAAAGCCGTGTGCCTATCTTCCTTCTCTAGTCGCAAAAATCTGATACGATGAGCACTAGAGCGGGCGAACCGAGGCGCAGGTAAAATGTTGGAAACATGGGGATTGGACATTTCTCCAACCTCTCTTCCCCCTCCCACCCACTTCCTTTCCCCCCACCACCACTGCCCCCACAACACTGCAGTATTTACCAAATCTACCTTCCCCCTCCAGCCCCCTTGCGCGCGCCCCTCATGCATCCTCTCTCACACGGCTGGCACTGCGGCCACCTACTGCGCTTCGGCTGCCTATGGAGACAATGGGAGGGCGAAGCGAAACTATTTGCCCGCGTAGCGAACTTCATCCCTCTAACCTACTGTTGTCGTTCGTTTTTTTTTCGCCAGGTCACAACGGCCTCGCTGCCTTCTAATCATCGACCTTCGTGTAGAAAGTAACCCACTACACCTGGGCTCCCATAATTTCATTCCCTGTAATTGCAAGGCCCCTGTCGTCACCTGGGGTCAGGAGCTCGAGCGCTTCGGAGGCTGTCAACAGTGAAGTCGAGAGCTTTACAGCCTGTGACCTGACGCGTCAGCACATTTCCACGCTGGAATGAGCTGGTCTAATAGATTCGAGAAGGCTCCCAGGCATGTTTTCCGTGGCTCACAAAGCAAACCAGCCGCACTAGATTCCTACGTGGCAAAAAATGGACGGCCTACGTGAAGGAAATGAATATGGGTAGAAACAAGCGTAACCGACTCAAAAACGATCACAACCACTAAGGGACAACACACACTACTCCCTTCCTCTGGCAGAGAGCAAATTCGACTTTCAAACCCACTCGTCATTTAGCACGGCCTAGAAATTAGAGACGTCCACTCTTAAGTACTACTAGTAGCCATGCCTACTCATAGGCGAAATACCGCCTTAACGATAGGGCAGAAGAGGGCGCTCGTCTCTCACCATGCATCCAACCCTAACCTTACCCACAACGAGCTCGTTGCTTGGCTTTATGAGAATTTTCAGAAAACACCATGTACATCCACCGTGTCTAGGATATTGAAAGATAGCAAGAGGTGGCTATCTCCTACCTTGCTTCCTGAGACACGAAAGAGGGCGCGGCCGGGCCATTTTCCAGCACTAGAAGCACGGCTTCGAGAATGGGCGATGAGGAAAAGCGCGGCTAATTTTCCAATCACGTTTAGAGTCTTGCAAGGAAAGGCTATAGAGCTTGCGAGGCGTATGCGCTTGCCCGACAACTTTGGTTGTAGCCGTGGATGATTGTGTAAGGCATTAGTTCGCATGGGCATGTCTTCGTACATACGGAAAGGGGAGGCCCTAGACGCAAACAAGGAGTCTATCGCGTTAGCGCGGGAAAATTTGCCCCTCATTCTTCAGTCGTATGAGCCTCGAGACGTGTATAACTTGGATGAGACCGGTTTAGTGCAAGGGCAGCAACCTAGGCGCACCTACGCCGCCGAGCCCGTGTCTGGCGGGAAGTTGGATAAGGAGCGTTTTATACTCGCGCTGTGTGTAAACGCTGACGGGTCAGATTTTAGAATGCCAATCGTCATTGGCAAGTCGATGCGACCGCGTTCGTTCAAGAGCGACTTCCACGTCCAAGACTATGTATGGTATCGCGCCAACAAGAAGGCTTGGATGACTAGCGAGGTGAGCCTTCCTAGTTGGGACAATGTACATCAGTACTTAAAAATGACGGCTGAAGTATGATGTCCTTGCTCATTTATATTGCTCCATGTGACACCCTTCTATCCCTTCTACCCACAAGATTTTTACACAATGGTTGGACGCGTTCGAGGGGGCGATGAAGTGGCAAGATCGGAAAGTTCTCTTGCTAGTAGACAACGCTTCCTCCCACAACATTGTCAATTCGGAGGAAGCGGTTGAAGGTCATGTGCACGGGATGCGGTATGTCGATGTGGGGAATGTTCGAGTGCTTTACTTGCCTCCTAACTGCACCTCTCATGTCCAACCACTCGATCAAGGTGTGATTTCAACTCTCAAATTGAGGTATCGCAAAATACTAGTCGAGTGGTTGATAAAGAAGTTTGACAAGCCGAATACCCCGGAAGAAGCGGTTATGGAGGAGGGAGAAGGGATGGGGGAATATGTGGAGGGCGAGGATAACATTCCCATGAGCAAGAAAGATCTTCGTCCGGATTTGAGAACGGCAATTACATGGATTAGCGGGACATGGCAAAGCTTTGAATATGAGATTGTGCGACGTTGTTGGAGGCGGGCCGGCATTGTTCCGTTTTCGTGGCTTGAAGAGTGGGGGCTTGGACGTATCTTTGAAGGGCCATTGAGGGACCCTTCTAGTGATGACGTGACTTCATTGGCTACTCTCATTTCTAAATTGAAGATCGACGGGGAGCTCATGACGGCTCGCCAATTTATCACGTGCGACGACACACTTCCTACCGAAGGGTCTTGGGAGGGCGAGCCGCGCCGAGAGCGCATCGGCAAATGGTTTCCATACCCTCGTGGGTGTGGGGTTCCGTTCGACCTCAACGATGCTCCCCAGCCTGAGCAACCCTCGAGCGAGTCCGTGCTTCAATCGGCATTGACGGCGCTTGAAGAAATGATGAAGGACTCACGGATGGCGCGGATTTTGGGGCCTTTGTTAGAGAACGAACCATTGCGCTACACAAGGGGCGTGATTTCGGAGGATCTGATTCAGTGGGTGAGGGCTGCACGGTTAGTCTGATAATGGGGTTTTGGGTAATAATAAGTAGTCAAATATTTGCTGATTTCGTACTGGGGGCTTAACTTGGAGACATTTTTACTTACTCACCCACTGTTTGACACTTTACATATTGTATGCTTGGTTGCTTCGATTTGAATTTGGGCTTCTTAATGAACGGAACACCTCAGGCTCATAGGCGATACTGTACAGTCATAGGACCGAAGGGTCCTTGCTGGCATGTTCCAGCGGGGACTGACTCAGCGCGAAAATATCTGCGCTTGGGGGGGTTGAAATTAGGGGGAACTTTTTTGTTCCCCGTAATTTCAACCCCTGTGCTAAACGACACAGGTGCGACCCGGTGCCCCGGCTCTGAAATTATCGGAACCCAGGTGTATTGGGCTGGATCTGACACGTAGACCAGTGGCTTGTCAAATACATACACTATATATGTCCACAAATGCTAACATTATATCAAGCTGGTATGTCTAAGTGTTTCAAGCTGCACTCGTAATTAACAAAAATACGTTTCCTAGAAGATGCGAAAGATGCTGATGTGGCCCTCGAGTTCCTCTGTGCATGCCACCTCATTCATGTCGCACTGCCTCCATCGCAGCACTCTGCACAGGTGGGTGGAGAGCGAAGGAGAGCACAGATGGCGAAGACGAGGACAAGCAGGAAGATATTGGGTTGGGGGGATCGGAAACAGGAGGGGAAACAAGGCAGGGAATGAGAGAAGGGAGAACAGGGCCGGAGATCAGGTTAAAGGAGGGAGATCAAAGGAGAGAGGTCAAAGCAGGGAGATCAAAACAGGGAGATCAAAGCAGGGAGATCATATCAAAGCGGGGAGATCAGATCAAAGCGGGGAGATCAAAGCGGGGAGATCAAAGCGGGGAGATCAAAGCAGGGAGATCAAAGTGGGGAGATCAAAGCAAGGAGATAAAGGCAGGGAGACCAAAGCAGGAAGATCAAGGTCGGGACATTCCCATGGCAAGGAGAGCATGCCTGAAACGGAGCCTTTTGGATGCTCTTGCCGACAGCGATCTCGGCTGCCTCCGAATTTCTGCCACTGGCCGCATCAGCACCTCCCCCAGTTGCACTTGAATCTTCCACTCCTCTGCTGCTGCAGTTGCGAGTCCGCAGACGGTTGTTTCCCGAGGCTCAAACTGGGTCTGCAGGCCCGGTTTTCTGAGTCGAGAGTAGACTCCGAGGTTCGGAATCTGAGGCTGACGTCATGAGGTACCGACTGGCAGCTGTTACCTCATTCACTCAGTGAATAGGCTGGGTTGACTGCATTCACTGCATTCTCTGCATTGACCCTGTTGATGATTCTTCGAGCCCATTAACTCGGTTGACTCGGTTGACTTGGGTGGTTCGGTTGCCACCAGGCAATGCGGGCGAAACGTGGCGATGCCCATCAGACGCTTCGTGGAACCACTGCTGCATCAGCCGCTGCCACGGGTTTTGAGACGTCTCAAAACTGGGTGGTTTGGTTGACACCAGGAAATGCAGGCGAAACATGGCGGTGCGCATCAGGCGCATCGTGGAACCACTGCTTAATGATAAAAGTGCTGCTTTGGGACGTCAAAAAACAACACTTCTACCACCTCAAGGCAATGCGAGCGAAACGAGCCCACCAGGCGCATCATGAAACCACTGCTCCATCAGTCGCTGCCGCGGCTTCCGCCTCAGCACCCCTGGTGCCGTTTGAACCATTGATGCTGCCGCCACTTCGTCGAACCAATCCCCAAGCGCCACGTCAGCTGCCGCGGTACTACCGCTAGTAGCAGCAGCAGCTCCTCCGTGGGGTACCGTAAAAAGCAGTTCTCCGCTGATCGCGCTGCATCGCGCAGCGGCGGCGGCATCGGACGGCCACACGGGAATGGAGTCGGCGGAAAGGCTCCTTCCGGACAGCCACGCGGGAATGGAATCGGCGGAAAGACTCCTTTCGGACGGTCTGGGAGTCATCGTCGGAAATGCGCGCGGCCACGCGGAGGCGGAAGGGGAGGCGGAACGGTAGGCGGAAGGGGAGGCGGAAGGGGAGGCGAAAGCTCCATCGGCGGAAGGAAAGGGGGAAGGGAATGGGGAAGAGAACGTCCGTGGTACAGCGGAAGGCCCTTCCGGCAGGGAGGCGGGGAAGTGGAGAGCGGCCGAGGGGCTGCAGATCGTAATGGTCATGATCATGGGGACTCGGCTGCTCGTAGTGATAATGGCGTCATCCGTCGTAGCGGATGCGACATCCGAAGTCCCACAACCGGCACTGCAGGCACCATCGGCAGCAGCAGCGCAGCAGAACTGGGATGTGCCATTCGAGGTGGTGGCGCCGCAGTAGGCGCCGCAGTAAGCGCAGTCACCGCCGGCAGTAGTATTACTAGGGCTGAGGTGAATATCCGAAAAACTTTGAAATCGCAGCGGCAGCGCCGCGCCGCGGACCAGCCAATGGCGACTCCCGCTGCTGCCGGGATTAGGGTTTGCGCGAGCTCGCCGCGGCGCGGCGCTTGTCGACGGCGTGCGATGCGGCGCGGACGACTCCATGATCCCAACTCCAACGTGACTGCCTGTCGAAACGGCGCGAAATCGCTAGTCGAAACAGGGAGTAATCGAGAATGGCTTGAGCTGCGAGTGCGGCTTGGGTGAATCCGTTTCTAAAACAAAGACATTCTGAGACTCACATTCGCTGCGACATATAGCAGTAATCGAGGTAGATGCAGCAGCGGCGGAGTAATGCCACGGGAAGGAAATCTCACTTTTCTAAACGTGGAAGGGCCCGCCAGGTCGGGTCGGGACCCGGGACGGGACGCATCGAGGGCGCAATCAGTAGTACTGACGTCGCAATGCCCTCGGCGGTAGTAGTACTAAGTACCAATGAGCGCGCGACCGTAACCGGCGTATCAATGCCTTGCGCCGGTGACCGTCACTGCTGGTTACGGATGGGCCGGTATTGGTAAGTGATGAGACACGCGAGCGACGTTAGAGGGGTGGGAAGGTGAGTAATTCACGCGGGGGTGGGGGGGGGGAAGAGATGTGACGCGCCCCGCACTGATCTGCCAGCCATCGCCGCCGGTCGGCGGAGGAATGATCGGCGGAGCCATTACTAACGGTACATTACCTCGCCGCTCGGCATTCCTGCCAGCGTTGGCATCCTTGCCGTTCTTTGTCTTGGTGGCCTGAATCCAAGACACGACACGATACGACACGTCACCCAGCTTCGACTCGCGTCGCGTCATCTTATCAGCCTGTGGCGACCAATCGGACGGTCTCGGGAGAGACTCGGGCTACTGTACTAGAGACCGTGCAGTGACTGCATTCTAGTGTATGGCCTCATCGTGCGAAAATACCTCGAAGTGAGGACGCAATGCGATATTATGCGCGAGATCGCGATGTGCTCAAGCAAGGTCCTTAGAGCGCTGTGAAGGACTGCGTAAGTGAGTCCCGTAACACTGGCAGTGAAAGAATCCGCGAGACTAAGCACTGACTACACTGTACTACTAAGCGCGGATTTGTGCTGCGAATAAGTAGCAGCCTGTACCGCAAAGCCCGGTGCTCGCACTGCTTTTGGAGGTGCTGCTACTGGGGGTGCCTGTGTGAGCGCCACTAAGTGTTCAATATGCCTCACGACGAGGGCCAACGCGACGAGGGAAAGATAATAGTGGGTATTTCTGGATTTTGGAGGTTTTCCTATCTTTTTATGCTCGAAAAATGTATGCATGATACTGTAGATGAACGGATATTTATATGGCGGCCAGCGTCACTTGCTGGCGCACTGTACTGCACTGAGGTGTCACTCCGTGACGGGTTTTTTGGACGGTTCCCTTCAACATGCTTCCGTGCTGTTCGCCTGCAATGCCTTAGGGCTGCAATTACTTGTGGCTGCTTCACAGCGGGCCGAGCGTGCGTGTCTTAAAGCCCGCGGCCCAAAATGCGGGCCGCGCGGGTCAACCTTTTAAGACTTGAAGAACTTGTGTTTGCAAGCTTTGAAAAAAAACGAGCCTGCAATTTGGGACTTACGGAACTCAACCAACCCCCCAGGGCGAAATACGAGGGGGGGCTAGGTTTGACGAAATCCGTTTTTTTTTTTTTCGCAAATACCAAGACCACAAAACCCCATCGCGTCAACCTTTTAAAGGTTGTGCAATTTGGGCTGCCCGCTTTAAAGCCCAAGTTCCACATGGCATTTTTCAAATTCAAGATTCTTGAATATGAACTCGCCAAAAACCAGGTTACCACCCAAAGTGCAGCTTTCCTTCACAACTCTGATGCATGATTGGCCAGCGACAAAAAAAAGTATTCCGCGTGAAGTGTCAACGGGAGTTGGTCCACTGTTCACCCTCAGTAAACTTGAAAACCAAGTTGTACTTACGTGCAGCCATATTGAGTCTAGCACACGTAGTGCGCTCCGCTTTTCTAGACCACAAGAGCGCGTAATATCGATTTCAGACAATGGCGGCGTGATGTCTAGAACCTTGCAGCAGTCTGACGGTTTTCCCCCCCAACGAAAATAATATTAGCCAGCAACAAGAAAAACGTCACCCGGGCTTTAAAGGAAATGATTGTATTGTGCTGTAACAACTGTTGTACTTCTTCACTATCTATTAACTTACCAGCTGAGCTCTTTTTACTTCAGTACGAAATGCACTGTAGAATGTGCATATTAGCACAGCCTGGCACTATGATGAAAAGGCAGCAAGCACCTTTTGATACTGCAACGTCACAACAGCGTGTTCAAACTCAAGAATTGAAGGCACGTGTATCAGTTAGCCCTTTGATGTAGACCTCCCTCGAGTATTCATGAGCTCAACCCACCCTGCAATACAATCTGTATTACAAACTCCTGGCTTCCAGCTGGTCAAGTATATGCACATAACTACTGTCCACACACACTACTCTGCTTCCTTCACAGCATCCTGTGCACGACCAGCAGGGACGGAGGGGAAGCACAACACAGCATTTACAGGAGCACGTTACATTAAGCACAGTATGGCAAATGAGGAGATTTGCAACAAATGGCTCAAAGGTGACACAGCAGGCACAAGAGCAACAGTAGTCACGACATAAAGAGCTGACTGAACGCACAAGAGTTGTGAATTGTTCCTTCACAGAAAGGAAAGTTGGAGCTAGATATTAATATAGAGCTATGCTGGAAACCCAACCCTTACCTGCACAATCTTGGTGATGTAAGTGGCTGCAAAGGCTGTGAGGGCCACCCCACCCAGCAGCGAATATAGAGACGAGTCCCCCAGCAATGAGCTCCCACTCTCCGCCTCCTGTGAAACAAAAAAGGAAGGGAACGGGTTTATGCTTGATTCGCCTAACAAAGACCAAAGAGATGCATCCCCTAGAAATGAACTCCCACTCCACCTTCTGAGAACGAAGAAAGAGATGGAAATCGGTGTGATGGGGGGGGGGAGGGGAATGGGGAAGGGGGGTAGGAGCAAGGAGACAAGCAGCAGTGGCAAGCAGTGCAAAGGCCTTTTAGTCTAGGACGTATTGTCGGTGTCATCGGATCAACAGTCGATTAAACAGGGAAGCAGAGTTTGGTCCAAATAGAAGAAACCGGGAAAGGCATATCTTGGTGATTGCGGATGCAAAAAAATGTCATGACCAAGAAACCCAGAATTAAAGGCATGAAAAGTGGAGCTGAGTCTCAAAGAGAGGCGTACCAATAAGGAGCGGCCAAAAGATCCGGCGCTGACATACGCCCACGTGCCTGGCAGCATGCCAATCCACCTGGCGTGTGGTAACAGGGAAACACGGAGACAAAGTCGCAAGGTGAGGAAGCTAACCTTTGGACCGACACCAAGGGGTCAACCGCTGACAAATTCCACTGTGTAAGACACCTGATAAGTCCATCTGGCCTGTGATCAGAAAATTTTTCCAGAGCAGACGCCTGCCGGTGCGCCTGGCAACATGAGGATTCGCTTGAAAAACAGCACAACGGGTACGGGAGATCGAAAGAGATGCAGAGGTGTGGTGCAGGGAGAGGGGTGGTGCAGGGAGTGGGGTGGTGCAGGGAGAGGGGTGAATCAACAAAATTACAACAACATGCGAGACAATCTGCACCACAACTTACGTGCCAAGGATGTACGGGAGAAGCTTCACGGAAGTGAGTCCGTAAAAGTAGTTTCCGAGGGAGAAGGGCATGAGCGGGCTGAGGCGCAGCAGAGTGACGATGCGGAACGAGTTGTTCCCCACTGCGCGGTCGATGGCTTCGTACTTCTTGTTGCCTCGCACCATGTCCAGAATGCGATCGCGCGCCACGTACCGCGCGATCAGAAACGCGACTGTAGCAGAGATCTGGGGCATGCGGGGAAGCGGGGGGGAAAGGGGGATGGGGAGATGGGGGGGAAAGAGAGAGCGATGGAAGGTGTTGAGAGGAGAACGACGAGGAGACAGACAGAAGGATGACAGGAAGGAGGAAAAAGCGGGCCCGTTTTGTGTGAGTCCCATACCGATGTGAGTTTGGTGTCGACCCTTAAGTCCGAGAAAGGCCAGGGAAGGCAATGCGGGGGAGCGAGAGAGGGATTCTTCCACGCACACGCAAGCAAGATCCCCCGACCGACTATAAAAAAACATTCCTGTACTATCACACCCGCAAAACAAACACAACCCCGCGCGTTACAATCACGCACCGTGCCGGAGAGGCTGCAGAGGAACGTGCCCAAGACGGGGCCGAACAGCACACCGGCGGACAGCGTCAGCGGGATAGCCGGCACCGCGAGCACCTCCAGAACCGAGTACCCTAGAACGAACGTCACATATCCTCCGGGACCCGCGCCTTCGATGTACGCTGTAAAGTAGTCGATCGCGCCGGAGATTTCGTCCTTGAACATGTATCCTAGCAGCGCCAGCGACGCGACGACGCTGATAATCAGCGCTCCCGCGGCCAGCGTGCCGCCGATCGCTGCTTCCTTGCTTACAACCTCGCCGTCCGCTTCGGATTCCACGGCAGCTGCCACGTCAGCTGCCACGTCATCTGACTTCTCAATCGCCACGTCAGCAGGCTGAGAGTGGGTCACTAGTGTCAGCGAGGATTCAGGAGAGGCATTCGCTCCTTCTTCTTGACGGGTAGCATCGGGATTCAATCGATGAGCAGTCGCGTTTTGACGGGACTCGAGAATCACGTCATGCGGGAAAACCCCATGGATATCCTCGTTATAAGAGTCGTCATGGAAAGGTTGTATGTGCTTGACGCCGTTAGGGACATCCCACAGTCTGTCAGCCTCTTGTCGTTTCCGTTCTTTTTGAAGAGCACACCGGACCGAGCTGTACCGAGCTGGATTGCTCCGAACCAACCAGTTCTGCGTGGTTCTTTGCCATGTTGAGACGCATATTTCGCGGCAATAATCGGTTCTGTGTGGTAGTCTGACAGCCGTGACATTAGAGAGGGCTTGTGGTGAACTGTGTGACTGTATCGGGGAGCAATGCGTTGCTGAAGGAGTTTGCATGCCGGTTCTAACTGCTCCTGTAGCCATGGTTACTACTCGCGTTGAAACTCAAGAGAAGGAAATTAGGAACACACACGCGCGGCGCACCAACGGCTTCCGATCGAAGCGGTCTTCACACGACGCAGCGGAAAGAGATCGGTCTCTGAGACACTTTTAAGGCCGTCCCTATTACACGGTCGCCCAGCCGAAAGGTGCACAACCCTATTAGCGAAGGGCAAGACGCCCGAAGCTTTGGATTACTGCAAACCCGTTATGCTCCACCAAGTGCAAGCTGGAGAGAGCAGCCTCCGCCTCCTCGCGCCCCGCCGAGTAAAACAATCAAGAACTGCGGGACTGACACTTTCTACCCTTTCCGTCGGTCACGACTCGGAAAGGTGTAGTGCGCAAGGATCCAGAAGTGGTCGGAGTGATGTGGGTGATGAAAACAGTTTCTCGAGAAAATATAGGAACGTCGGGCTTGGAGAGCCTCGGCAGGCTGCAAGCAAAGCCGTGGATGGTTCGTACGTAATCCTCGGGAGGATGTGTGATTGGATGTGCTTGCAAGGCATGCAGTCTGGTGTTCTCTTGGGAATATACTCAGCGGCATGTGCAGTGAACTCAACGGAGGGTTGAGATTCGGCGACGGGGTCTGTAGATTCCGTAGAAGCGGGATTGAACGGGTGAGATCTCAAACGCGAGATGAACTTTCACGAAGCATGGCTGGATATGTGCAGCAACGGAAGGGAACCACAAAAACGCCGCCCATTCCAAGCGGGTGATGGTTCTTGTGTGATCAGCGATGGCCGAAACCAAAACACGCGCGAGGTGTGCGAGGAGGGAAAGCGAACGAATAGCGTGGCACGAGGTCTGGAATGGCGGGGAGTGACAGCCAACCATGTGCTTCGAACGGGTGTGCGGACGAAATTGGAAGTACATCTGGCACCGAGTCATTGCCCCATGCATTCGCTGTGTTGTTGACGTGCTCCTTGACATACGGTATCAAGTGGTCAACGCTGCGTCGGTTTCGTTTCGTGCTGACGCGTATCAGGTCATCGACGCTGGTCGAAGAGCCCCAACAATGCACACTTGGCGTTTGCTGAGGGCATTCCGCGCTAAAATAAGGCATCGCCATTAGCACTACGCCACGTCGACGCGGGATCAACACACCAACGGAATCGCTGGTGGCTTGAGATTCCATGCCCGCGGATTCATGGGGGTTGGGTCGTGGACTTGTGGGAAGGGTCTTGCTAGAATCGTTCTCGATCACCTACTGGTGGAAGTGATTGGCAACTGGAATCAGAAAGTGCGACACGGAGATTTTCCCAGCAGTCCAAGACGCTGATGAAACTTGACCTCGTACCTAGTTATCGAGCTTCGATACACAGCCCTACTCAGATCCTGAACAAGTCCCTACAGTGACAACAAACTACCCTGTTGATGATAAGCCCATCCACATCAGCTCATACTTCAAACGAGTAAAAACAAATGCAACGTTGCTAATCCAGCACGTTGAGCGGCTGAGTCTATATACAGCCTCTTTATTGCCATACACAGTCCCCGTAACCCACAACTACTGGAACCAGCGACCCACCTGGTATTGCTCCTGTTGCTCCTGTGGCTTTGCGTCCACCTGGTCCTCTTGCTTTGCAATTTTAGGGCCTTTGAACCACCGGTGAGCGTCAAGAAACCACCATAGAAGGAACATGGCTACCACGACCACAATTCCCACAGCAGCATAGTTGAAATTCTCTGCCGTTACAGGATATTCCGTCGGGATAACAAAGACGACCATGGTGTAGACGACGTATGTGAGAGCAAGGACGTGGACGCACTTGCTGAAAAGGGAAAGGGGAATAATGGGGATGGATTAAGGGGAAGAACAGGGGGAAACGGGGATAAGGGAGTGGCATAAGAGGATGAAAATATAGGGAGGGGTATGAAGGAGGAGTGGATCATATGCGGAAGAGGGATATTAAGTCTTCATTTCACCATGGCTCGTACCCCTTATTGTCCCTCTCTCCCCCTCTGTCCCTTCTTCTCCCCCCCACCCCTCTATCTCGCCAAACCCTCCCGCAATGTCCTGCTCACCCGCCCGTGTGGCCAATGTAGTTGGGCAGGTAGAAAGGCCCGGGATTGAAGTCCTTGTGAGATTGAATGATCCGGAAGAACACCGGCACTGCGTACGCGCCGAACCACCCCACAGTGGCCATGCCGGTGACGGCAAAGGTGTGTTTTGAGTCGACTCAAAACCCACCCCACGGTGGCCATGCCGGTGACGGCAAAGTAGATGACACACAGAGCCCCCTCAGCAGGAGAACTGGGAGTGAGACACCCAACCTTCCTCTCAACTTCCCCTCCTTCCCTCTGTCCGCCCCGCCCCTCTCTCTCTCCCAACCACCCCTACCTCCCTCCCCTGCTCACCCGCCCGTGTGGCCAATGTAGTTGGGCACGTAGAAGGCCCCCGGATTAAAGTCCTTGTCAGAGTGAATGATCAGGAAGAACACCGGCACTGCGTACGCGCCGAACCACCCCACGGTGGCCATGCCGGTGACGGCAAAATAGGCCACAGACAGAGCCCCCTTAGCAGGAGAACAAGGAGTGAAACACCCACCCTTCCTCTCCTCTTCCCTCTGTCCGCTCCCGCCGCTCTCTCTCCCAACCACCCCTGCCCTCCTCCCATGCTCACCCGCCGGTGTGGCCAATGTAGTTGGGCAGATAGAACGGCCCGGGATTGAAGTCCTTGTCAGATTGAATGATCCGGAAGAACACCGGCACTGCGTATGCACCGAACCACCCCACCGTGGCCATGCCAGTCACAGCGAAATAGGCCACGGAGCCTCCGAGCAGTGGCATGAGGAAGACGATGGCGATGGCGCTGGTGCAGGCAATGGCATTGACCGGGACCTTGTCAGAGTTGACCCGGCGCCACAGGAAGGAAAAAGGCAGGCCGCGGTCGCGAGACAAAGCGTAACCCTGGTGGGGAGGATGATGGAGGAGACAGTAGGGCAGGGGAGGGACAGGGTGATGGCGATGGCGCTGGTGCACGCGATGGCGTTCACTGGCACCTTGTCAGAGTTGACCCGGCGCCAGAGGAAAGAGAAAGGCAAGCCGCGGTCCCGAGACAAGGCGTAGCCCTTCGGAAAACAGGTAGGACGTAGGGGAGGGGATGGAGGAGACAGTAGAAGAAGGGAGGAACAGGATGATGTGCTGCTGGTGCACGCTATGGCGTTCACTGGGACCTTGTCTGCGTTCACCCGCCGCCAGAGAAAAGACAAAGGCAAGCCGCGGTCCCGAGAGGCGTAGCCCTGGTGAAAGCAGAGGAAAGCAGGCAGGGGGGAGGAGTGGTGTGGGGAGAGGAGAGTGGGGAATGAGCTGTGTTATTGGTGCTGACATGCAGAATCTGTTTTTGAGAATTCTCAAAAACAGATTCAGCTGGGGTATTGGTGCTGATATGCGCCGAACCACCCCACAGTAACCATCCTGGTCACGGCTCACGGAAAAGTAGGCCACTGATGGAAAAGAAGAGACAGGCCCAGAACACCACCACGCAGCACCACACCATATCACACTACACACCACCAATCAAACTCACCATCGCATCACATCACACAAGCACACACCAAACCGTACCAGACCACACCATATCACATCAGACCATGCCAGGCCACGGCATATCACTCCAGACCGTACCAGACCACACCGTATCACACCGTACACCACCCATCAAATTCACCACGCGGGCAGCAGCGAGGATGAGAGTGAGTGATGGTGGCGAAGAAAGGGATGAGAAAAGGATACAGAACACTACCGCACCACACCGCACTGCGCCACACCGCACCACACCGCGCTGCGCCACACCGTACATCACCCATCAAACTCACCACACGGGCAGCAGCGAGGATGAGAGTGATGGTGGCGAAAAAGAAAGAGATGAAGAAGAGGCCAAGGAAGACACAGGCACCCGCACCGCTGCCGTACCTGAGAGACACAATGTGGTAAGCATGGGAGGCAAGCATGAGAGGGAAAGCGAAATGAGGAGGAGGAGGAGATGAAGAAGAGACCAAGGAAGACACAGGCACCCGCGCCACGCCACTGCCGTACCTGAGAGACACAATGGGGCAGGCATGGATGGAATGGAAGGGGGTTTGAGGCGCCTAAAGGATTGCAGATAATGAGATGAGACGGCTTTCGAGGTGCCTTAGAAGGCACCTGCACCGCTGCCGTAGCTGAGAGACACAATGGGGCAGAAGTGGAGGAGGGAGGAGGGAGGCATAACAGGGAAGGAGGAGGTGAAGAAGAGACTCAGAGAAGATACACTCTTGAAAATTCTCAAAAGGGATTACACCGCGCCGCTGCCGAACCAGAGAGGGTGGGGTTTGGGAGAGTAGGTGAAGGAAAGAAGGAGAAGAAGACGAGAAGGAGCAGGAGGACACATGCACATTCATCGATTCTCAACAGCACACTGCTGTATTTGAGAAGCTGGGGGGACTTTTGAGGCGCCTCAAAAGACATTCATCAATCCTCAACAGCACGCTGCTGTACTTGAGAAGCTGGGGGGACTTTTGAGGCGCCTCAAAAGACATTCATCAATTCTCAACAGCACGCTGCTGTACTTGAGAAGCTGGGGGGACTTTTGAGGCGCCTCGAAAGACATTCATCAATCCTCAACAGCACGCTGCTGTACTTGAGAAGCTGGGGGGACTTTTGAGGCGCCTCGAAAGACATTCATCAATCCTCAACAGCACGCTGCTGTACTTGAGAAGCTGGGGGGACTTTTGAGGCGCCTCAAAACACATTCATCAATCCTCAACAGCACGCTGCTGTACTTGAGAAGCTGGGGGGACTTTTGAGGCGCCTCAAAAGACATTCATCAATCCTCAACAGCACGCTGCTGTACTTGAGAAGCTGGGGGGACTTTTGAGGCGCCTCAAAAGACATTCATCAATCCTCAACAGCACGCTGCTGTACTTGAGAAGCTGGGGGGACTTTTGAGGCGCCTCAAAAGACATTCATCAATCCTCAACAGCACGCTGCTGTACTTGAGAAGCTGGGGGGACTTTTGAGGCGCCTCAAAAGACATTCATCAATCCTCAACAGCACGCTGCTGTACTTGAGAAGCTGGGGGGACTTTTGAGGCGCCTCAAAAGACATTCATCAATCCTCAACAGCACGCTGCTGTACTTGAGAAGCTGGGGGGACTTTTGAGGCGCCTCAAAAGACATTCATCAATCCTCAACAGCACGCTGCTGTACTTGAGAAGCTGAGGGGACTTTTGAGGCGCCTCAAAAGACATTCATCAATCCTCAACAGCACGCTGCTGTACTTGAGAAGCTGGGGGGACTTTTGAGGCGCCTCAAAAGACATTCATCAATCCTCAACAGCACGCTGCTGTACTTGAGAAGCTGGGGGGACTTTTGAGGCGCCTCAAAAGACATTCATCAATCCTCAACAGCACGCTGCTGTACTTGAGAAGCTGGGGGGACTTTTGAGGCGCCTCAAAAGACATTCATCAATCCTCAACAGCACGCTGCTGTACTTGAGAAGCTGGGGGGACTTTTGAGGCGCCTCAAAAGACATTCATCAATCCTCAACAGCACGCTGCTGTACTTGAGAAGCTGGGGGGACTTTTGAGGCGCCTCAAAAGACATTCATCAATCCTCAACAGCACGCTGCTGTACTTGAGAAGCTGGGGGGACTTTTGAGGCGCCTCAAAACACATTCATCAATCCTCAACAGCACGCTGCTGTACTTGAGAAGCTGGGGGGACTTTTGAGGCGCCTCAAAAGACATTCATCAATCCTCAACAGCACGCTGCTGTACTTGAGAAGCTGGGGGGACTTTTGAGGCGCCTCAAAAGACATTCATCAATCCTCAACAGCACGCTGCTGTACTTGAGAAGCTGAGGGGACTTTTGAGGCGCCTCAAAAGACATTCATCAATCCTCAACAGCACGCTGCTGTACTTGAGAAGCTGGGGGGACTTTTGAGGCGCCTCAAAAGACATTCATCAATCCTCAACAGCACGCTGCTGTACTTGAGAAGCTGGGGGGACTTTTGAGGCGCCTCAAAAGACATTCATCAATCCTCAACAGCACGCTGCTGTACTTGAGAAGCTGAGGGGACTTTTGAGGCGCCTCAAAAGACATTCATCAATCCTCAACAGCACGCTGCTGTACTTGAGAAGCTGGGGGGACTTTTGAGGCGCCTCAAAAGACATTCATCAATCCTCAACAGCACGCTGCTGTACTTGAGAAGCTGGGGGGACTTTTGAGGCGCCTCAAAAGACATTCATCAATCCTCAACAGCACGCTGCTGTACTTGAGAAGCTGGGGGGACTTTTGAGGCGCCTCAAAAGACATTCATCAATCCTCAACAGCACGCTGCTGTACTTGAGAAGCTGGGGGGACTTTTGAGGCGCCTCAAAAGACATTCATCAATCCTCAACAGCACGCTGCTGTACTTGAGAAGCTGGGGGGACTTTTGAGGCGCCTCAAAAGACATTCATCAATCCTCAACAGCACGCTGCTGTACTTGAGAAGCTGGGGGGACTTTTGAGGCGCCTCAAAAGACATTCATCAATCCTCAACAGCACGCTGCTGTACTTGAGAAGCTGGGGGGACTTTTGAGGCGCCTCAAAAGACATTCATCAATCCTCAACAGCACGCTGCTGTACTTGAGAAGCTGGGGCTTGGGAAGGGAGAGGAGGGCAAGGGAGAGAAGAGGGTGAGGGAGTGAACAGACACACCTGCTTCACAGCCCACCTACCTCGCAACACACCTGACATATAAAACACGTCCCAGAGGATTTGCACCTTAGCAAACTCCCCCCACACCTCTGCAAACTCCCCCCCCCCCCCCACCTGCTGTAGAACCCACCTGCCCCACAACCCACCTACCCCACAACCCACCTCCCTCACAACCCACCTGCCATAGAACACGTCCCACAGAATTTGCACCTCTGCAGCTTCCCCGCCAGTGACCGTGTCCTTTGAAATCAGGCTCTCTGGGTCCTACACGCATGCAGGCACCGGCAGGCAAAGAAGAGCTTTGAGGCGCCTCAAAAACAGACATTGGATTGGAAAACTAGACGCCTCAAAAGTCCCCGCCAGTGACCGTGTCCTTTGAAATCAGGCTCTCTGGGTCCTACACGCATGCAGGCACCGGCAGGCAAGGAGGAGAGCAACAGGGCGGTTAGGGGAGAGAAAGAGAGAGAGAGAAGCATCAGGGTTAGAGGGAGGCGAAGATGAGTCAAGGAAAGGGTGGGTCCTCCACACGCATGGATGGAGGAGGAAAAAGAGAAAATGTGCCTTTTTCACACGTTTTTTCCACACGTTTTCCACACGTTTTTCACACGTTTTTCACACGTTTTTCACACGTTTTTCACACGTTTTTTCCACACGTTTTCCACACGTTTTCCACACGTTTTTCTCACGTTTTTCACACGTTTTTCACACGTTTTTCACACGTTTTTCACACGTTTTTCACACGTTTTTCACACGTTTTTCACACGTTTTTCACACGTTTTTCACACGTTTTTCACACGTTTTTCACACGTTTTTCACACGTTTTTCACACGTTTTTCACACGTTTTTCACACGTTTTTCACACGTTTTTCACACGTTTTTCACACGTTTTTCACACGTTTTTCACACGTTTTTCACACGTTTTTCACACGTTTTTCACACGTTTTTTAAGCTGCGAATCCTATTGCTCCAACGTGACCTCCTCGCGTTGCTGCCCTTGTAATATCAGTTAAAGAAAGGGTGGGTCCTGCACGCATTCACAGGGGTGGATTGAGAACAGGTTGCAGTAGCACTGCCCCTGCCCCTGCCCCTGCCCCTGCCCCTGCCCCTGCCCCTGCCCTTGCCCGGTACTGTCAGTCTTCATGAACCCATGGGCACCACAAACAGACCAGGATACATAAGGTGAGGGCCACGATGACGCCCCACTCCACAAAGCAGATGAGCGAGCTGGTAGCTACCGCAAACGGCGTCGTCACATTCACGTGAAGCTCTCCTCCTGCATCCGTCTGCATTTACTCACCCGTCACCACCCACCCACCTGGATGCAGAAGGTGAGGGCCACGATGACGGCCCACTCCACGAAGCAGATCACCGAAAGGGCAGCTATCATGGCAAACGGCGTTGTCACGTCGGACCGTTTCGCCTCTTCTGACGTGTGAGCCGCTGCATCGAATGCATACAACGCGTATTGCGACATGAGGAGCCCAGCTACCACTGCATATGCCTGGGAGTAACCCAGGGGAGGCAAGGAGGGTGGGGCGGGGGGGGGGGGGGGGGGGGGGGGATAGTAGTAGCGATTTGTCACTTCTGACGTGTGCGCCGCTGCATCGAACGCGTAGAGCGCGTATTGCGACATGAGGAGCCCAGCTACCACTGCGTATGCCTGGGATGGGAACAATCAAAGAAAAAAGGCGACGAGTAGGAGTGGTTTGCTGTTGCCTCTTCTCTCCTGAAGTGTGCGCTGCTGCATCGAACGCATAGGGCGCGTATTGCAACATGAGGAGGCCTGCCTGCTACCACTGCGTATGTCTGGGCTGGGAATGAGGGGCAGGAGGAGAGAAGGGGCAGTTAATATGAGAGATTCTCGCCTTCAGACGCGTGAGCCGCTGCATCAAAGGCGTAGAGCGCGACATGAGGAGGCCTGCCTGCTACCACCGCTTCTGAGGTGCCTCAAACGTAGACATGAGGAGGCCTGCCTGCTACCACCGCTTCTGAGGTGCCTCAAACGTAGACATGAGGAGGCCTGCCTGCTACCACCGCTTCTGAGGTGCCTCAAACGTAGACATGAGGAGGCCTGCCTGCTCGGGGCTGGCTTATGGGCCTTGGTGACTGCAGGGAGTGTGATTATAGAACGCCAGTGACACTAGGAATAAGAACCCACCCCAAACGGGATGCCTGTGATGCAGTACCGAACCTCAAAGTGCCCAAACACCCACGAGGCTGAGACATGCATTGAGAACCCTCGTGCGTAATATGAGACTCACTCAATAAGAGACCGACTCACCCCATTGGGGATGCCTGTGATGCTGTACTGAACCTCAAAGTGCCCAAACACCCAGGATGCTGGCTGGTGTGTCTTTGCGACCGCAGGGAGCGTGATTATGAAGACCAGTGCCACTAGAATCTGGTGGAATGAAGGGGGAAGAGAGGGCAGAAACAGGGAGAGAGGGCAAAGGCGGAAGAGGAGAGGAACATGAGTGTGATGTGAATGCGACCGCAGGGAGCGTGATTATGAAGACCAGTGCCACTAGGATCTGGTGGAATGAAGGGGGAAGAGACACCCAACCAACACAAAGTGGGGGAAGAAGAGCGTGCATATGAATGAGACAACACATATGCACGCTCTTGGGAAGAGTGGTTGGGATGTGGGTGTACACCCAACCAACACAAATTGGGGACTACACTAACATAACAAATACATGAGGGCTAACTCTAACACCCACAGCCAGAACTTGCTCCACTTGCTTAACGGGCAGGCAGCACACACTGATGGCAGCACAGACCAGAACGAGCAGAGATAGGAATGGGGGCATCGATAGGTCGCATATGAACTACTCATAAACGATTTTTTCATCACTCTCACCTGCACCACTGTCCCGACAGCCAGAATTTGCCCCACTCGCTTGATGGGAAGCACGTTGATGGTGGCACAGATCAGAATGAGCGCAACAGACAGGCAGATCGGTGCATGTCTGCCTGTGTCCTTGTGCGCCTCTATCCCTCACCTGCAGCACTGTGCCGACAGCCAGGATTTGCCCCACTCGCTTGATGGGAAGCACGTTGATCGCGGCACAGATCAGAATGAGCGCCGCACACGACAGAAGCTGCAGGTAGTGTGGAAAGTCATAGCCACCGCCGTTGATGCCACCTGGGGGGGGATGGGAATTAAGGAAGGGACGGACAGATAAACATGGGAAGGGGGGAAGGCATACCGTACAGAAGAAATGAGCGCCACACACGCCAGGAGTCGCAGGTAGTGCGGAGAGTCACACCCCCCACCGAACAGACGAGAATGGGCGCCACACACGCCAGGAGTCGCAGGTAGTGCGGAGAGTCACACCCCCCACCGAACAGACGAGAATAGACGGGAGGGCATACCACAGAACAGACGAGAATGGGCGCCACACAAGCCAGGAGTCGCAGGTAGTGCAGTAAGTTGCACGCCCCCCCTCCTTTGAAAAGCGCGCAGCCACCCACCTATCCACCCATCCACCCATCTGTAGCAATAAACTCAACACGAGTGACATGATCTGCTTAATGCCCCCAAACGCCACTCCGCCCACTCCCATCTGTGGCATGGGGCACGCCTTCGAACAGGGAGAACCTACCCAACCCCGCACCACCGCACTGCACCCACCTGTGGCGATGAGCACGAGCGACATGATCTGCTCAATGCCCCCAAAGGCCACTCCTCCCACTCCCACTGACACCCCCACAAACTCCAACCAGCCCTGTGGACGGATGGGGGAGGGGAGGATGGGACAGACGGTTGGATGGAGCGGGTGAGTGAGAGGGAAAATGTAGACGTGACCTTTGAGTCGGCTCGTTCATGCCCCCAACCCAAAGGCCACTCCTCCCACTCCCACTGACACCCCCACAAACTCCAACCAGCCCTATGGACAAATGGGGGAGGGGAGGGGAGGGTGAGAGAGGGGATGGAGTGGGGCGGGGATTAGGACAAGGGTTATGTGCTCTCACCAACCCACATGCTCACAGGGCAATGCAGTCAATTCTGGCGCACCCCTTGCTAATTTGAGGACGCACAGTAAAACGCTATAGTGATCACCCCTCAATAGACTCACAGTGATCCATGCTGCAAACGGGCCGTACTTTGGGCCGGCGAGAGCAGCCGCCCAGAAATAGAGCGAGCCAGCTGTCTGTATGGGGCAATGGCGGAGAGGAGGAAGGGGGGGGGGGGTCGGAGGGAGTGGGTAGAGGAAGGGAGCAGGAGAGCCGTACTTTGGGCCGGCGAGAGCAGCCGCCCAAAAATAGAGGGAGCCAGCGGTCTGCAGAGGGGAATGGGGGAGAGGAGGGAGGGGGAGGTGGAGGAGAGGACGGAAGAGGAGGGACCAGGTGTCTGTATAAGGGAATGGGGGAGAGGAGGGGAGGAGCGGAAGGGGAGGGGAGGGGAGGGGAGGGGAGGGGAGATGAAGGGGACGAGTGCAGAGAGGGAGGGAAACGAGGAAACGGGGAGAGGAGGGTAGAGACGGGGAGGACTCGAGGAGGAAGCGCGGGAGGAGGAAAAACAAGGAAAATATTAGGGGAGAGGGAGACAAGACAAGAGGAGGAGAAGGAGAGGATGGGTGAGAGAAGGTTCGAAAAGGAAGCAACGAAAATAGGTGTGTGGGTGTGGTGCATGCGAGTGAATGAGAGTGAAAGAATGTGCATTGGAACACACGTGCATGTGTGGGAGTGAGACGAAGAGAGGCGGATAGCATATCTCACAGGGAAGGAGGAGGCGATTTCAGCAAAGGAGAGGGCGAGCAGGTGGGCAAAGAAGATAGTGATAAGTGAGTATCGGGTGTGTGCGCATGCGTGTGGGAGGGAGAGCATGCGGGAGTGAGCAGCTCACAGGGAAAGAAGAAGCGATTTCAGCGAAGGAGAGGGCGAGCAGGTGGGCAAAGAAGGCAGTGATCCACCAGAACCACACGCAGCACACGGGCCCGCCGTTCAGATACGCCGTGCTGCATGCATGGACGAGGGTTGTTTTCATGTTGAAGTTTTAGTATTTTTTAGAGGTCTGGGGTTTGGGCACAAAGAAGGCAGTGATCCACCAGAACCACACGCAGCACACTGGGCCGCCGTTCAGATATGCCGTGCTGCATGTATGGTGGATGGCCAAGCAAACACATGATAGGCGCAAGAGGTGCATGGGGCGCGAAGGAGACGGGGGGAAAGAGGGCAGTAAGTGAAGGAGTGATTCACCGGAACCAGAACGACATGCAGCGCCGTTCAGTTAAGGAGATGGGGGTGGTGGTATTATGAACAATTGAACGAGACAGGGATGGTGGTATTATGAACCAGTAAAGGAAATGGACGGTCACTGTACCCCAAGCGACAGTAATTTCTCCATCCACCCTCTTTCTCCTTCTAGAATGCATCACCCACCCACCCATTCCGCCCACTCACGCACCGATGCACACGCAACCACGCATGCATGTATGCACACGAACACTCTCTAGAACGCATGTGTTCATGGATGTCCCAAGAACATGCCCAACCCATCCACCCACCCATCCATGAGTCCATGCACGTGACATACCCATAGTAGGGAATCCCGAGGAACATGCCGACGCCACAAAACGCCACTGAGAACAGCTCGAACGAGTTCTGAGGCGACGAGATAAAGAAAGTGGTTACATTGTTACAACAATTTTTTGAGTCGGCTCGGCTCAGAACACATCCCCAGCGATATAAAAAGTGGAATTTCAAGGTAACGATAGGCATCACTGCGAAAACTATGAGATATGAGACGTCTCAATAATTGAGTCAGCTCAAATCTCACAACTCAAGATAACAGCTCGACGGAGCTCTGCAATGCAGCAATGCGGAGAACAGATTTTGGTTAGGAAGTAGCCACTGCGGCAGTGGTCGCAAAACAAAATGGAGAGCAGCGTTTTATGAAGCGTACAGACCAGGGAAAGCCCTGACGCGTACAAATGACGTCAGAAATGATTATCTTTGGCGCGTACATATGAAACAAATAGGGGCTAGGAAATCGACCGAGAGAGTAGAAAACACGAGAACCAGGAGAAACATGTTGGTAGCATAATGGACGAGAATCAGGACAAGTCGCAGTGTACCCGTTACTGAGTCTCACCATGGACCGCTGCAAGTCCTGCGTGTATCCAAGCTCCATCAACCGTTTCTCTCCAGAATCAAGCTCCAAAGTAAACAGCACGCCGTCGTCTAACATAATCTCCATAGTCTTGGCTTTCCCCTCGCTCTCCCCGCCTTCCCCGCCTTCCGCTCCTCCAACGGTAATTCCCCCGTCTTCTTTCACCAGCGCAACCACCGCAGCCCCCTCGAAGGCGCAGCCTTCGCGGAAAAGCTCGTCTTCCTCCGACTGAACGATCGCCGCTTCCGGCGCCGCCGTCGCCGTCGCCATGATGCGCGCACGAACGCTGTAGTGTCTAGTAATCGAAATTTAACCCAGCAATTTTGGATTAAATACTTGCAATATGATGCTTTACGGAATAATTTAATGGAGGGGACGTGGGAGGCTGCTATTTACGTGATTGTCAGTAAGGAGATTATGCAGTGCGAACAGAATGGCGTTTGCGTTAGTGGCTCGAGGCGTACTGACAGAGTGTTTAATTCGCGTGGCGCCGAGGAGAATTTCGAGTCGACGCACACAAAAAGTTGGAACTGAAGCGGTAATGAAAGAAAATCTTCGCGAGCCTTCTAATACGTGTATGCGACAATGCGGCGGCACACGCAGCTCTTAAAACGACGGCGCTTAAAGACGAGAACTGCTAAGTCGACTCAAAAGGTCAAAGCCGAAAACAAAGAGCTTTGCGACGCCGGAGAACGAGAACTGGGATTACGATCACGGGTTCCCGAAGCGCGCGGTCAACATTAGCCGAAGGTCGTCGCTGTCAAAAGTTAGTACATAGTAAGGGCTACTGCATTGCTCAGGACGAAAAGGACGGGTCACCTCGGTTCATTAATAATAACTCTAACATCCGTGAGCATCCAGCGGAGCGAGGAATAGCAAAATAAGAAGAGAAATTGGCGAGGCGACGGATTTTCCGGAGTAATAATACGTAAGGATTCTTGGCTGGACTTAAAATTAGTCGTAGCAAAGCGCTGCGTGGCAGGTTTTTTTCAAGAATGCAGTGACGGTCCGCGGAAACACCTTGGACTCTTGGAAAAGGAGGGAGGGAAGGGAAGGGAAGAAGTATTTTCAGCAAACCAAGTGGCACGGTTGGAGTATGTCTGACACAATTGTGGAGCAACTAGAAACCGAAAGCTCCCAGACAGTTGTGCATACCGAAAGGGTAGGTGGGTTCCTGCAATTAGGGCGTAACCGAGGGCCGGATATCCCTCAAGAACCTACCGAACCGTTCGAGAATGCAGGAGAAACTATTTGCAACGCACAGAAACGCACTTCTTCACGCGGAGGTAGCAGTCAGTCATCATCCTGGTTGCGATACGGGGTTTGGTTTGGAGTTGCCAAGCCAAAACGTTACAGACCGTCACAGGTCGGTTCGATGCGTTTACTGTAGCTGCTGGTCGGTTACAGTAGTTCAACACCTGCATCCAGCGGCAAGCCCCCGGTGAGGTGTCATCTCACCCAGTGGCAAGTTGTGTCGCCCTATCGTGCCCCAAAATACAACGGTTTTGGGGCGGGGTACCAGGGTTGTACACATTCCTTGTATTTAGGGTTTGTTACATTGCGCGCTGGCCCATTTACAAGGAAATGGACCAGCAAATGCAAGGGGGCACCATTTTAGAGGGACCACTTCCAAAAGTGGTTCCGCGTGGTACCGGGGACCATTTGCGGCGGACCAGCCATGCACAGTGCATTGCAAGAACCAAACGAAGTGTTGACGAAATCAAAAGTGTACCTGGTCACGCTTGAACAAGATGTCGCACACAGCAGATACTTTTGGCGAAACAATAAAAAACGCAGTTTTCGCCTTGGGTCGCTCTGGAAATGGTCCTGCGTGTCGAGCTCGTACGTGCGCCTCGCACTGTACATGCTGGTCCGTGGGCGGGTGCAAGTCGGGTCCACACCTGGGCCGTTCGCTGGTCCATGCTGGTCCGCGCAATGCCCCTGGGCCGCAGCGGCCCAGCACGGCCCAGCATAGTTCTTGCGCACATGTAACACCCCCTTAGCCCCCTCGTCGCACACCAACCTCCTATATTCAGATCAGAACATTCTGATGCTCGTGAGGGGGTTAGGGCGCGCTGTAGTTGTAATTTTTAATTCGAAAATTCCGCATAAGATCGAGTTTCCTCCAAGGTTTTTGTGAAGTTCGAATTACTGTGCGTTTGGCGTTTAGTCAACAGTATTTTGTCGCGACGAAACAGTGTTACTGTTTCGGAACTGCACCGCGCTCGTGTTTTGCATGCAAACTTGAGCGCCATGTCGAAAAAAGACAAAGGCAAACAAGACTGCGGAACTCACCTCACAAAGCTCGAACTTGAGTGGGAAGTGCACCACGTAAAAAAGGTGAACTCCATTTGCGAAGAAAACGAAACGTTAGCAATATCGAAATGTTCACGACACCTAAACGAAATGAGACGATGACCGATACGACGTCTACATGGTACGTGCGACCCCAAATTTGGTCGCATGGTTGGTAGGAGTTCGGGTTCCCCAAAAAACCACTCTTGGTGCACTTGACAAAGGGTGCTGATACTCTGTATTTTTGCAAGTTCAAGCTCGACATAACCCAAACGCGATCAAGTTCGCCCGAAACCCGCTCCAAGAATTTTCGAATAAAAAATCAGAACTGCAGCGCGCCCTTAGGGGGGCAGTGCTGGGTGGGGGGAGGGACTGTCACTCCACGCCAATTTCACTTCTACTAGAACTGTACCATTCAATGCACCATAAATGTCAAAAGCATTCGAACTGTCCAACAAAATTGGGCATCATCTCAACCGCGCTTCTACCCAGATTTCCCGCAATTCTGTTGAGAGCCAGCCAATTCCGGGTCCAGGTCTACTGTTTTACGACCCAGTCTCGAACAACTTCGGGCCCCCCAAAATCTATGTGGAACTCCCGCCACAGCTGAATGGACATGAACTAAGTGATGCGAACGCTTGGTGCATGGGTGCTTTGAATACACTGCTGGTGGAGGGAATGAATGTGCACTTGTAAATGTCACGAGAACCCACCTCAGGCGAACCGAAGCAACCAAAATAGGTTTATTGAACCGTAGTACCGGGCGTTTAAGAACAGACAGCTATATCCTCGTCTGTCTTCAGCACCAGAAAGGTCAGGTCGATCACTAAGGGCAACATCCTCCAACGGTGCAGTTTGGTTCGTTGCCAATGCCGAGCCGACCAGTGCTTGTTTGTTTGCGGTCAGAGTGTGACACTGCCTCATGTTTCGAAAATTGAGGGGCTTTTGTTGAAAATACAGTACACGTCCTGGCAAAACACAGAACAGACCCATCCTGTATTTTTCAGTAGGGTTCAATCTGTGTTTCACGAGGCTAGTTCCGCCCCCTCCAACAACGCGTACAAACAGAGGAGGTGTGGTCTTGAAGCTCTTGCCCCAGCCCCAGCAAAGCAGACACGTGTCGATTGCCGCGATTATGGCGCACCTGACGGGCACTCCTCCCGCGCTTCCGTCATCCCTCCGCGTGGCGTCATCCCATTCGCCTAATGTGGTCACATCACGAGCATGCGCGATTACCGTGTTACCATTCGTCCCCCATTGCGCATCCATCACATCGTCTAGACCCCACCTCACAACCTCCCGAAAATCCCCCCTGATTTTCCTACGAAGACCGCCTTTTCCGCGGCGCGCTTCAAGGCCCGAGCGTAGCCGAGCTGGTTTCGTGGCCCGCGCTTCGGGGGACGGTTCGACGGAGCGCGATTCCGAATCGTCCAGGACAATGAGCGAGGGGGCGGAGCAGGCGGAGGAGGGGGAAGAGGAGGACGAGGAGGAGGAACCGGAGCTGGAAAAATGCCATTTTGGCGGGAAAGAATTGGAGCGATTCGTGAAAATCAACGAGGGCCAATGGCGCGGCGCGTTTCTGGTGAGTCTGACGCACTAGTTACGGTCAAGCATAACGACAAAGATATAAAAAACAGACTACTACGTGTTGTACGAGCGGATCTTTAAATGAGCCACGAAAATATCTCACGTGCAAGCTTAACCTCTAGAAAACAACCAGGGCTCATATTTAGGGGGCTTGAGGAGAAAGGCTGTTGAAACGCAAGGGTCGTAACCTCTAAAGATGAGCCCAAGGCGTTGCTTTAAGAAATTAGACTTGTCGACTGGGGTTCACGTTCGGGTTTTGAGTTTCAAGTGTCAGACTGGGGTTTGGGGTTCAGGGTCTGAATTGTGCACGTACTTTTTTCGTCCTCGTGATCCCTCCCCCCCACAGTCGTTCTTCCCAACCCTCCAAAACCCTTTTCGTCTCGACTTCTTCTTCCCACCCGTTCTGCCCTCCCCTTCTATCCCCCCGTCTGATCAATACGCACCTGTCCTCTTTCCTCTCTCGAAAATCCCTGCTTGCCCTCTCAAACCTCCCCCCACTCCCACCCACTCCCCCCACGTCTTTTCCCCCCAACCCCTCCTTCCCCTCCCCCTCCCCCTCCCCAGCACTACGATCTGAATGGTCGCCTGATGCATAGAGTGCCCACCCGCCCGCCTCTCTTCTCGCCTCCCACATTCCTTACCCCCACTCCACCCCGTTCTCTCCCACCCCCCACCTTCTCCCCCTTTCCCCCCTTTCTCTCCCCACAAACCAGCACTACGATCTGAACGGTCGCCTGCTGCACAGAGAGCCCACACGCCTGTCTGCTCGTCCTCATTGCTATCCCCCACTCCCCGCACCTCTTTCCCCACATCCGCTCTTCCCTCCCCACCCTTTGTAATCAGCACTACGATCTGAACGGTCGTCTGCTGCATAGAGTGCCCACCCGCCTGTCCGCTACAGCCTCTGGCCGGGGAGAGAACAGCTCCTTGCTACAGACGTGAGTCTTGCCCACAGTGTTACCCACACGCCTCTCTGCTACACGTCTTTGGCCCGGGAGAAAAAAGCTCCCTGCTACAACTTGTGCCTTGAAGAGAGGAGGGAATATACTCTTTTTGTCTGCTCCTCCCCATTCCTTGCCATGTCTCTACATTCCTTCCCACCTCTCACATTTCGGCCACTCCTTTTTCCATTCTTCCCCTCTGTTCTCCATTCGTCCCCTCCTCTCACCTCCAGATTGTCTGTGCCACGCACACTCGAAGAACCTTGGTACTTCACTTCAGCTTCTCTCCTCTCACCACCTCTCTCTCACCACTCTCCACCCCCATCAAATTGCGTGTGAAGCAAGCACACGCGAGTTGAGAGGAGGAGGGAGGGGACGAGTGGGTGGAGATAAACCGGAAGAATGGAATCTCAACAGCCCACCCTTGGGTCGCCCTCTATCTCTTCTCCTCCCTCTTACTAGTAACCCTCTTTTCACCATTCCCCCTCTTCTCCTTCATCAGGTTAAGAGTGAAGCAAGCTCCTTCAAGTGGAGAGGAGGGAGGGGAGGAGGAGTGGGTGGAGATCAAACTAGAGGAGGTCAATCGCATCACAGCAGCCAATCGCCTTCAGGCACGTGGCTGGTTTGTTTTTTTCTGACAGAAATGGTGTGATAGACTTTTGGGGATGCATAGGGGGTTTGACTCGCTTGACTTGTGATGATGGTTTGGCCGGCTTGACTCGCGTGACTTGTGATGATGTGCGGCACAAAGAACACTGAGCCTATTCGCATTCTCCCACGCCCCACTGCCCCTCCACTCCACTATGCCTCCCATCCCCCCCCTCCATTGCAGGTCGCCTGGTTTCCAGACAATCAGGCATACGCGCTCAGTTTCCAGACAGCAGAGGTGCTCTTGAGGGCGCTGGCAGTGGGGGTGGTGGGAGCAGAGGCAGCAGATGACGACAAAGCAGCAGTGGTTATCGGAGGGATGAAGTGAAGCTGCCGTCCCCTTCTCAGAGAACAGCCCCTTCTCTTTCTCTTTCCACCGTCCCTTCCATTGCAGGTCGCCTGGTTCCCAGACCATGGGGCATACAGTCTCAGCCATCAGACAGCAGAGGTGCTGGTGAGGGCAGTGGCAGTGGGGGTGGTGGGAGCAGAGGCGGCAGATGATGATGGCGAAGCAGCAGAGGTCATCCGCAGGGTGAAGCTGCCGTCCCGCTCTCTGTCACTCCCTCACTCCTTCACTCCTCACCCCTCCCTCTCCTCTCGTTCCCCATTCATCTCTCTTTTCGTGCTCATCATGCCTACTGCCATGTGTGCAGGTCGCCTGGTTCCCTAAACACAAAGCATACGCTCTCAGCCACCAAACCGCGGAGGACCTAGTGAGGGCGCTGGCAGTGGGGGTGGTGGGAGCAGAGGCAGCAGATGACGACGAAGCAGCAGAGGTCATCGGGGGGGTGAAGCTTCCGTCCCGCCGCCCGGCTCTCGTCAATGAGACCTGCCTTTATCTCTCCGAACCAGCTTCCGAACCTCTTTCCGAAGCAGCAAGCTCAGAGGCAGATGGAAGTTGGGGGGATCGGAGGGTGCGTGTGTTCCATGTGCTGGAATCCAAGGGGATGATTGACACGCTGGGAGTGTTTGTGGAGGAGAGGGAGGGAGCGGGTGAAGATGGTCCATCCGAGAACCCAGGGGTAACGGCAGCCCATGCGAGAGAGCTTCTGGAGGTGAGCCTATGAAGAACTGGAGGGTGCGTGTGTTCCATGTGCTGGAGCCCAAGGGGATGATTGACACGCTGGGGGTGTTTGCGGAGGAGAGGGAGGGGAATGGAGAAGGAGCAGGTCCAGCGGGTCAAGACTCTCAAGGCACATCTATCCATGCCAGAGAGCTTCTGGAGGTGAGTCAGTGAAGCAGGGAACTGTATGGTTGTCCGTTCCATGTGCTGGGCTCCAAGGGGATGATTGACACGCTGGGGTTGTTTGAAAAAGTGTTTTGAGACGTCTCAAAACACTCCCATGTGCTGGACACAAAGGGGATGATTGACACGCTGGGGGTGTTTGTGGAGGAGAGGGGGGCAGAGGGCAGTGGAGAAGACCCAGATGGAGACATATCGGCCCATGCCAGAGAGCTACTGGAGGTGAGTCTATGAGAAAGGAGAAGGTGAGGGTGCGTGCATTTCATGTGCTGTCCCGATTTCCTTCTCCCACCTGGCGCTACTGCTAGGCGAGTGGGATGGCACCTCCACCCCCCACCGATCCACCATCCACCATCCACCATCCACCATCCACCATCCACCATCCACCATCCACCATCCACCATCCACCATCCACCATCCACCATCCACCATCCACCATCCACCATCCACCATCCACCATCCACCATCCACCATCCACCATCCACCATCCACCATCCACCATCCACCATCCACCATCCACCATCCACCATCCACCATCCACCATCCACCATCCACCATCCACCATCCACCATCCACCATCCACCATCCACCATCCACCATCCACCATCCACCATCCACCATCCACCATCCACCATCCACCATCCACCATCCACCATCCACCATCCACCATCCACCATCCACCATCCACCATCCACCATCCACCATCCACCATCCACCATCCACCATCCACCATCCACCATCCACCATCCACCATCCACCATCCACCATCCACCACCCACCACCCACCACCCACCACCCACCACCCACCACCCACCACCCACCACCCACCACCCACCACCCACCACCCACCACCCACCACCCACCACCCACCACCCACCACCCACCATCCACCATCCACCATCCACCACCCACCACCCACCACCCACCACCCACCACCCACCACCCACCACCCACCACCCACCACCCACCACCCACCACCCACCATCCACCATCCACCATCCACCACCCACCACCCACCACCACACCACCCACCACCCACCATCCACCATCCACCATCCACCATCCACCATCCACCATCCACCATCCACCATCCACCATCCACCATCCACCATCCACCATCCACCATCCACCACCACCACCACCACCCACCACCACCACCACCATCCACCATCCACCATCCACCATCCACCATCCACCATCCACCATCCACCATCCACCATCCACCATCCACCATCCACCATCCACCATCCACCATCCACCATCCACCATCCACCATCCACCATCCACCATCCACCATCCACCATCCACCATCCACCATCCACCATCCACCATCCACCATCCACCATCCACCACCACCACCCACCACCCACCACCACCACCCACCACCCACCACCCACCACCCACCACCCACCACCCACCACCCACCACCCACCACCCACCACCCACCACCCACCACCCACCACCCACCACCCACCACCCACCATCCACCATCCACCATCCACCACCACCACCCACCACCCACCACCCACCACCCACCACCCACCACCCACCACCCACCACCCACCACCCACCACCCACCATCCACCATCCACCATCCACCATCCACCATCCACCACCCACCACCCACCACCCACCACCCACCACCCACCACCCACCACCCACCACCCACCACCCACCACCCACCATCCACCATCCACCATCCACCATCCACCATCCACCATCCACCATCCACCATCCACCATCCACCATCCACCATCCACCACCCACCACCCACCATCCACCATCCACCATCCACCATCCACCATCCACCATCCACCATCGCTTCCTTCGTTCCTTTCTCTCCCCTCTTCTCCCGCCTCCCTTCCCCTTCACCAGGCGCATTCAGACCCTTCCACCACTCCAACCCCCCCCTCCCGCCTGGCTCTACTGCTAGGCGAGTGGGATGGCACCTCCACCCCCCACCGATTAACCATCCACCATCCGCCGTCCCTTCTTTCCTCCTTTCTCTTCCCCTCTCTGCTTTTTCCTCCCCACCTCCTTTCCCTCACCAGGCGCGACCAGACCCCACCAACGCTCCGATCTCCCCCTCCCGCCTCGCTCTGCTGCTAGGCGAGTGGGATGGCACCTCCACCACCCACCGGTCAGCCATCTAACATCCCTTCCTTGCCCTCTTCCCTGTTTCTCCCTCCTCACCAGGCGAAACCAGACGCTCCCACTGCCCCAGTTCCCCCCTCCCGCCTCGCTTTACTGCTGGGAGAGTGGGACGGCACCTCCACCACCCACCGGTCAGCCATCTATGGGGAGACAGTCACCCACTCCACCTCCAACTTCTTCCTCACCCGCTTCAGTGATGGGAGCCTGGGTCTGGTAAGTCACGCCTTGTTGTCTCCTCCATCCCCCCCTTCTGCACATTGCTTGCTGGGGGAACGAGTGGGATGGCACCTCGACCACCCACCGATCGGCCATCTATGGGGAGACGGTCACTCACTCGACCTCCAACTTCTTCCTCACTCGCTTCAGCGATGGCAGCCTGGGACTGGTGAGTCGCCCTCTCTTATCACCCTCATCCTTCCTACACCTCCACTCCACCACCCACCGATCAGCCATCTATGGGGAGACAGTCACACATTCAACCTCAAACTTCTTCCTCACCCACTTCAGCGATGGGAGCCTGGGGCCGGTAAGTCGCGCCTTCTCGTCTCCTCCATCACCCCCTTCTGCACATTGCTTGCTGGGGGAACGAGTGGGACGGCACCTCCACCACCCACCAATCGGCCATCTATGGGGAGACAGTTACTCATTCCACCTGCAACTTCTTCCTCACTCGCTTCAGCGGCGGGAGCTTGGGGCTGGTGAGTCACCCTCTCCCGTCTCCTCCTTCCTCTGCTCCTGCTGCCCAGCCCTTTCCTCTCGCCCTCTTCCTACCGCCTTTTCACAGTCGTCCTTCCACCAGGAGGAAACACGGGGCTACCTTGGCTTCAGGAGGAGAGGGGCTGTTGCCAACCACTCAGAGGCATCATCTGAAGGCGCTTCCACAATCCCTCCCCGTTTTCTTTCCCTCTTTTGTTTGAGCCCCTTTTCACGCGCATTGTTACACCAGGAGGGAACACGGGGCGGCCTTGGCTTCAGGAGGAGAGGGGCTGTTGCCAACCACTCAGAGGCATCACCTGAAGGCGCCTCTACATCCTATCCCCTTTTCCTTCCCCCCCATTGTTTGAGCCCCTTTTCATGCGCATTGTTACACCAGGAGGAGACGCGGGGAGACCTCTGCTTCAGGCGGAGGGGAGCCGTTACCAACCACTCAGAGGAATCTCCCGAAGCTCCAACCACTTCTTCCGAAGCTGCAGGCTCGGAAGATCAGGTTGGGCAGGAGCAGCAGCGGGAAGTGGGCGGGCGCATTGTGCTAGACGGAGGGCAGCAGATCACGCTCCTTCCCGGCGGCCTTGCTCTCTCCGCGCCCTGCTGTGTGCCCCGCGGCCGCGCCTTCTTCTTTGAAACCATCCTGGTGGAACCGGGGGAGGGACAAGGGGCGGGGGTGGGGTTTGGGGAGGAGAGGCCTGGAGGAGAAGGGGCAGGAGTTGCTGTGCCAGGAGCACAAGGGTGGCGGCGGCGGCGAGTGGTTCGGACGTACGATCCGGATGGTTTTGTTGTGTCCAGCTCAGTGTTTAGAGAGAAGAAGCTGGGGTGAGATAAGATGCGATGGTGGTGGTTCTTTGGTCGACTAAAACAAGTGGTTTGAGCGTACCGTACGATCCGGATGGCATGCTTGTGTCCAGCTCACTGTTTGTTGAGGGATGAAATGAGATGAGAATAAGCAATCAATGTCCCTTTTCTTGATCCAACAGTGTAAACATACAGTACAGACATGGTCCCGTATATTGCAGTGGGAAACGCACAAAACGTTGCCCCACTATTTCCCCCTTTCCTCCTCACCTCTTCCCCACCGGCTTCTCTGGACCCCCTCCCCTTTCCTCCTCACCCATACACCCTCTCCTGCCACTTTCATCTCTCTCCCTTACTCTCCTCACCCCAATGTTTGCGCACACAGCATTGCATTGGATTGGGTGTCTCTCGTGCATGTAGCCTTTGCCGTAAGGCGCGTTGAAGAGGTGCTGTATTGCTAGCTGACTAAGGTACGGTTCCGTACCGAAATAAAGTAATGGATTGATGTAGAAGCCATGTGACATAGTAAGAGCACTCCAAAAATGCACTTATTTCATACCCATATACACAATGATCCACATCTGTTGTCCACATTCAGCCTGTTCTAGAGGCACCTCAGAACAGCCTGAATGTAGGCAACACTGTCCCCAGCCGCGACCCACCCTTCTATCAAACAAAAACAGATCAGCCACTAACGCAGACAGGAGTCTACCAGAAGTCCAGCTTCCCACTGATTGTCCCGTTACCGCGGAACACAACAAACATCTTGGGCGCGCGGCGGCGGCCGTTGGTGTTTGACAGACCCGCCATAAGCGCCGCGCCATCCATGGCCCCGTACAGAGTGTAGGCCGTGCCCCAGCGAACCCACGTGGGAGTCCAGGTGCCGGGGAGGTCCGTAACAGTGGTTGGGGTTACCAGCGTGTCGCAGGGGTTGCCAGTTACCACTGACTGTGAGGTGGGAGGTGAGGTGGTTCCTGTAACGAGCAGCTGATATGTGAGGGTCAAGGAGCCGTTCCTGAAGGGAAGGGGAGTATAACGAAGGCAAGGAAAAGGGAGTAAGGATATGGGGAGGATGGAGTGTGGGAACCAGCAAAGAACCACGGCGAACACTTGGAGTGCAGGCGTTACCAGAATCGACGAAATGGGGAGAAATTATTATCATGATATAGAAAGGGAAGGGGAAGGAGAGGGGGGCAGGGGGAAGGGGGGGGGGGGAAGAGGTGGGAGAGTTGGGAGGAGGGGATGGTGGGGAGAGGGGGTGGGTGGTCGGAGGGCGGGATGGATGGGGAGAGGTGGGGGAAAGGAGGGAGGGACTCACTGGGACTGATAGTTCTTGAGCGCAGCAGACCCCCTGACGCCATAAACGCGAGGGCAAGACTTCAAGGAAGACTCGCCAGATGCTGCATTCGGCGCAAACAAGAGACGTCGCAGACAAGAACAAGGTAACGTTACGCTGTGAAGAAGCTCGTGGTAAACTCTTCTCGAAAGAATTAGAAGAGAAAAAGAGCATACAACTGCATTTGAAGGGATGGCGAATTGATGCGGATGGGTGTGTCGACTCACCAATGAGAATGGGCCAGCGGAACCGCCCGTTGCCACGTCCGCCGCGATCGTCGCGACCATGGGCGTGGACGGAACAACCTGCATCCACCATACCACCAGGAAGGTATTAACGAATGACAAGGAGGAGCGCAAGGTCAGCGTCTCGGCTTCTAGTAGGATGAACGCTTTCAATTTCAAAAAAGTTGTTTGATTTCTGGGAGAAAAGAATGAATAAGTAAATGTAAAAGACGAAATGATGAGTTGAGTGGCAAGCAGGGAAATCAGGTAAGCTTTCGGGATTTGAGTATCTTAAAGCGGTCTCTTACAAAGAGCGGCGAGGATGAGGCCGAGGAAGACGATAGCTGCGGAGGATTTCATCGTGCGGCTGTGGTGAGACGGCTTAGAAGATCGACGACGGTGAGGGTGTTATAATTCGGAACCGAACTAATCGCGGATGAGGAACTCAAGTGTTGTAATCGGAGGTGTTGTTTCGATCTGTAAGAGAGATCTGGATGATCGAGAAACGACTCCATTCCCATTTTGTACTGCTCCAAACTTCCTCGTCAGACGCGACGCGAGGGTCCGAGAGCGAAGTTGGCGGTGGGAGGAGGAGGAAACGAGAGCGGACATCATGGGCAGCGCAGCGACTCGCGGAGGTAGGTTGGTCGGCTTCACGTGGGGGGGCTTGTTGGGGGGAGCTTGTTTTGGAAGGTAGGAGATTATGGCGGCCAGGTTGGGGAAAATCGAGGAATGGCTGGGTGTGCAGTGCAGCAGCAAGCCAACAGCTCTGCGAACTAACAAAACAGGAAGCAGGATCGTTTTGAACCGATCTCAACCCAGTCTAACCCACACAAGATCCTACTTGCGAACATGGCCACGTGTATACAGCGAAAAGCGCTCTCCACTTGTTTGCCGGGCATTTCCGGAGAAGCCGCAAAATTCGTGCTTGAGGCGCGTTTACATGCGAGCTTTTACAAGGGTCGGTTTTTTCAGCAGCCCAGCCGCCATGCTGGGGTGGGTATGGTTAGGAATGGAAATGCTGGTCCACGGTATTCAAAGATAAGCCCGCGTGGGTGACAGCCTGGCCACGTGACATTGGACGGTCCGAGAAACACATCTCATGTCTGCGGCTCGGATCAAGAACCATGGTTCAGTTGTTACACCTCTGTAAGGTTAGCTTCAGTAATATGAAGTCAGACTGACGAAGATGTCACATAAGTCTGGTACTGAGGTATTTCCTTATGTACTCCAACTGTGCAATATGTATACAGTTTCATGCTATTTCTAATCTCAATAAGACTCAAGGAATGATCTCATGTTGGAAGGTCATTTGTATGTTCATACCCAAGCGCATACTTTTCTTAATACGTGCCATTACCTATAATCTTAATGCGTGTAGAGTGTTCTGAAGTCCACCATCTGTCCCCGATAATCGCAGTATCAAAATTCTAGGTTCATGTCGTAAGGCACCAAACCTCGAGATTCCTCTCAGGGTCAAATATGGTTGTGTCTTCACCAGTATCTACCGCATCCATTCGCCCTGCGCACATCTGTGTACCTCTTCCTGATCCGCAAGCTCAGATTCCGAGTCATCTACTGACACAAACATCTCTCCTCGAAGTTTGATTGTCAGAATCGTTGGCTTTTCCTTCTTATTCCTCGCTCTCAAGCTTCGGTTGCTTGTTGGTCGCTTGTGTTGCTCCTAACGACGAGTCTTAGGCGATCGACCCTTAGCCGCCATGTGGTCTAGAGGCGGCGCGTCCGTGGCGCCAGTGGGAAAGCAGGCGGCGTACGGCGCGGGAGCACCTATGGCTGCTGCTGCGATCCCCGAGAGTTTAAAAGTCGTCAACTGTCCATCGCCAGATCTCGCGTTGACGAACTTCGCATTCCTTTCGCGAGCGGAGCTGCCGTGCTTCGCCGCGTTCCAAGGGAGCCCGCACGGATTCATCGAGATCGGAGGGAACATCCTCACCGTTGCATATCCTCTCATTCGCGTCCCTCTGTCGCAATCTTAGTGTAGTTCCGTCTTTTCGCAACCTGTCTCTTCGCAAAGTCTGTCATGGTCTGTCTCTCCGCGCTCCGTCGCGTATCCTCTGTATCCTTTCGTACTAATCAGGCTCGGCTCCATCTTTCGTACCTTCGTTCCTTCCGCCGTTTTCGTGTTTGATGTCCTGTTCGTACCTAGACCCCGCCCTATACGCTAATCTCGTCTCCGCTCCCTTGCTGCCCCAGCCTTGTTACCCTCAGCTCCCCCCGTTGCACTACCCTCATATTTTTTCTCTCCTTCCTCGGGTTTCCCTCAGCTCCCCCTTTGCACTACCCTGGTCTCTCCTCTATCCTCGTTATAGTTACCCTTAACTTTGACCCCCTCTCTATTGCGATGGCGTTCCTTCGTCGCGCTTTTCTGTCCAATCATCGGTTCATGGCGGCGGATTTCGACCAATCACAGCGCACGAAGCTGTGGAGGTGGGAGCCGTGGCGCTCAACGCCGTGCAGCGCCGCAACGCGCGCGTCTCTGCGGGCGACAGGGTGCCTGTGGGGAGGTAAGGGAGGGCAGAGCAGGTGCCGGTGGGGAGGTAGGGGCGTAGAGACAGACAGGGGGGTAAGGGTGACGGCTGGAAAGCAAGACAGGGTGCTTGTGGGGAGGTTAAGGGGGAAGATACAGAGTCGCAACGCACACATCTGTGAGGGCGACCGGGTGCCGGTGGGGAGGTAGGGGTGATGGGGGAAGGGGGAAAACAGGGGGGGAGGATAAGGGTGCCGGCTGGTAAAGGAGGCCAGGTGTCGCTGGGAAAGTAGGGGGAGAGATACAGACATTGAGGTTGTTGTTGCGGCTCATTCAAGAGTTACCTTGTTACAATCTCTCCTGGCCTCACCTCCTGTACTCTTGTCCTGTCCGCTCTCCCCCCACCTGCCTCATGTCAGGTTCGTCCCTCCACCTATGAACTTTGAACTACAGTCCACCACTCTGGAGATCGACTTTCACTCCAAGGGCCGAGCCAGAGCGGAGCAGGTGAGTGTAGCTGGCCGACTCAAACAGCGCAGCTGTGTCAAGGGACACCCTTGAGGAAGGATTAGTGGGGTTTGATCCCTCCTGCTCGTGGGCTGAATTTTGAGCCGCAGTCCAAGGGGCCTCTCCTCTCCTCCACCGCTTCGGAAATCGACTTTCTATCACAAACACAAAGAGTCCTACCCTCCCCTCCCCTTCCCCTCCCCCTTCCCGCCCACACCTCTGGATACCCTTCTTTCTCCTCCTCTCCTTTCATACCCTTTTCTTTTCTTATCCTCTCCCCCCCCCGCCTCCCCTCCATCCCCACACACAGCTGGACGCAGTAGAGCTATCAAAGGATGTGCTAGCAGTGTCTTGTTCTTGCCCTCCCCTCGTACCTGTTTTCCCCTCCCGTCCCCCCTTCCTCCCTTCCCCCGCCCCCCCACACAGCTAGATGCAGCAGAGCTATCAAAGGACGTGCTGAAGCGCTTTGCAGGGCAGGTGCTGACAGTGGGGCAGAAGATCTCCTTTGACTTCCTCTCAACCTCCTTTCCTGTCCGGCCCTCTCCTCTACTCTCTCTCTTCTGTCTCTACCTTCTCCTCCCCCCACCCACAGCTAGACGCAGCAGAGTTATCAAAGGACGTGCTGAAGCGGTTTGCAGGGCAGGTGCTGACGGTGGGGCAGAAGATCTCCTTTGAGTTCCACGGCACCAACTTCGCCCTCACCGTCATTCTCGTGGAGTTCCCATCTCCTGAAGGGCAGGAGGGCGCGCGGGCGTTTGCGTCGACAAGAGGGCTGCTGGTGAAGCAGACGGGGATTATATACGAAGCTGCTGCTGGCTCAGGCATCAAGGTAGGTTCTTTTCTGGGTCAGCTCAAGATTCTATAAGCTCTAGCTCTAGCTCTAGCTCTAGTTGTTGCTCTAGTTGTTGCTCTACCAGCCGCAGCACGAACCAACCAACCAGCATCGCCCTCTCCATGCGGTTTTCCTCGTGGAGTTTATTGTCGCCCGAGGGACAGCAGGCTGCAGGCCCCTGCTTTGACCTTTGACCCTCCTTGCCGTTATCCCTCCCCCTCCCGTTCCCCCTCCCCCTGTCCTTGTCAGGTCGTGAATCAGAAAACAGGGGGCGGCAAGGCAGCGGCGCTATTCAAGCAGAAGGACTTCAACTTTGAGAAGCTCGGCATTGGAGGCCTTGACGCCCAGTTTGCTGACATCTTTCGCCGAGCCTTCGCTTCCCGCGTCTTCCCACCGCACATCATCTCACGGTGGGTGTTGTTGGCATTGTCAGATGGTAGCATGGTGGTAGCATCCTACCATCTCCCTTCAGAGGGTATCAGCATGGTGCGACACAGTTTTCTCTCGTGTCATTCTCTTCGTACATTTCCCCCCCCCCCGCTCGTCTTTCCCTATACCCATGTCTTTAAGGTGACTTTTGAGTCGACTCAAAAGTCAGCTTTCTCTCGTGTCATTCTCTTCGTACATTTCGGCCCCCCACTCGTCTTTCCCTACACCCATGTCCCTCATTCTGAGCCTTCTCATTTTGCACGTTAAGGGCATGCTGCTGCACAGTCCCCCCGGCACGGGAAAGTCGCTAATCTCCTGGGCATGCCTCACACAACTCTCTCTCCCCGTCCCTTTCCGCCCGCCCCCCTTCATCACCCCCCCGCTCATCTTCCCCTAGCCTGGGAATCACACACGTGAAGGGCATGCTGCTGCACGGGCCTCCCGGCACGGGCAAGACACTGATTGCTCGGCAGATAGGCAAGCTGCTCAACGGCATGGAGCCCAAGGTATGGGGGGATGGAGTGTGGGCAGGTGATTGGGTGGGTGGGGCTTCTGGTGGGAGTTGTGCTGCTGGTGGTGGTGGGTGGGACTCGACTCTCCTCTCCTCCTCTCCCTCCCGGCACGGGCAAGACACCGATCGCACGGCAGATAGGCAAGCTGCTCAACGGCATGGAGCCCAAGGTATGGGGGGCTAGTGCTGCTCGGGGTTGTTGGTGGATGGGTGGAGTGTGGGCAGGTGATTGGGTGGGTGGGGCTTCTGGTGAGAGTTGTGCTGCTGGTGGTGTGTGGGGCGCTGCTCTCCTCTCCTCCTCTCCCCACCCCTGGCATGGGCAAGTCACTGATCGCACGGCAGATAGGCAAGCTGCTCAACGGCATGGAGCCTAAGGTGGGGGTTGGGGGGGATGGTGGGGGGGAGGAACATTCGAAACCTGCTTACACTAACTCTGCTACACCGCTCTGCACCATTCCTCATGCACCCTCCAGGTGGTGAACGGCCCTGAGATTCTTGACAAGTATGTGGGAGCAGCAGAGAAGAGGATTCGTTATACCGTTCGCTCTGCTGCTGCTTTATACCGTTCCACACTCCTGTGCTCTTCAGCACTCTTCATGCACACTGCAGGTGGTGTTTGAAGAAGTGTTTTGAGACGTCTCAAAACACTTTATGCACACTGCAGGTGGTGTTTGAAGAAGTGTTTTGAGACGTCTCAAAACACTTTATGCACACTGCAGGTGGTGAACGGCCCTGCGATCCTAGACAAGTACGTGGGAGCAGCGGAGAAGAACATCCGAGACCTGTTAGCACTGCTCTAAACCACTTGAAACCGTTTCTTGTTCCCTCCCTCCAGGTGGTGAATGGGCCTGAGATTCTTGACAAGTACGTGGGAGCAGCAGAGAAGAACATTCGAGACCTGTTTACACCGCTTCATACCACTCTTCACCACTCCTTATTCACCCTTTCAGGTGGTGAACGGCCCTGAGATTTTGGACAAGTACGTGGGAGCAGCAGAGAAGAACATTCGAGACCTGTTTGCGGATGCTGAGAAGGACCAGAAGGAGCATGGCGATGAGAGCGACTTGCACATTATCATCTTTGATGAGATTGATGCCATTTGTAAGGTGAGATGAGACGTGGTGGATTGAATAGGAAGGCTCTGAAGCTGTCTCTGGGCTCTGTTTGCGGATGCTGAGAAGGATTAGAAGGAGCACGGGGATGAGAGCGACCTGCACATCATCATCTTTGATGAAATCGATGCCATCTGTAAGGTGAGATGAGATGTGATGGATTGACGGGGATGTTTCATGTGGGTTGATGGAGACGTGGGTCGATTGGGACAAGTGCGGACACTGAGAAGGACCAGAAGGAGCATGGCGATGAGAGCGACCTGCATATTATCATCTTTGATGAAATCGGCGCCGTTTGTAAAGTGAGGTGAGATGAGACGTGGATTGAAGGAGGTGTGGGCTGGGGCTGAAGGAGCATAGCTGAAGGATATGAGAGTGACCTGCATATCATCATCTTTGATGATATCGATACTATCTGTGAGGTGAAACTGTTTAATATCGAGAAGAAGTGTATCGCTATCTATCGAGAAGAAGTGTATCGCTATCTATCGAGAAGAAGTGTATCGCTATCTATCGAGAAGAAGTGTATCGCTATCTAGAAGTGAGACTGTTTATGCTGGCATGTGAGGCTCGCTATTTTCACAGCAAGGTGAATTTTGAGCCAGCTCAAAAGTCACCTCCCTAAATTCACAGCAATGGGGGGTACAGTATCTTCACATCATCATTCAATCAGGGTCTGCATTATGTCGCACTCATTTCTACCTCTCTCTTCCCTTCTCCCCTCCAGTATCTCCTCCAATATCTCCTCTTCCCCCCCTTACCTTCTCTCCCATCAGAGTCGAGGGTCTGTCCGCGATGGCACAGGTGTGCACGACAGCATAGTCAACCAGCTTCTCACAAAGGTGCGCACATGCTATGCGACTGTATCACCATGTGCCCGTTACCGCGCTTCTCGTCCAACCCCCCCTGAGACAAGTAGTTGCTACTGATGCGCAACGGTAGCAAGTAATCACTACAAGCGCACGACAGCATAGTCAACTTTTGAGACGTCTCAAAAGTCGTCCGCACGACAGCATAGTCAACCACCAACTGCTCACCAAGGTACGTCCATACTACTCCGCTCCTCCTCCTCCTCCCCATCCTGCCCCATCTTATATCCACATACCGCGATGGCACGGGATTGCATGACAGTATGTTTAGCCAGCTGCTCAGAAACGTGCATGCCCCTCCCCCTTTCCTCATCTCCTCTCCACCCCTTTCCTCTTCTTCCCTCCTGCCTCCTTCTCCGCCCTCCTCCTTCTCACCTGTTCTTCCTTTTCCTGCTCACTCTTGTGCGCAGATCGATGGCGTCGAGTCGCTGAACAACATTCTTCTAATTGGAATGACCAATCGGAAAGACATGCTCGACGAGGCCCTGCTCAGGTGCAGTGCGGTGCTGTGCGGTACAGTGGTGCGATGGGGCCTGATGCGTGACATGGATTGATGGGAGTGAATGTGGTGTGGTGTGGAGTGGTGTGTGTCGTATGGTATGGCACGTTGTGTTATGATGTGGTATGTTGTGGTGCTATTCTTTACAGTGTAAAATGTGGGCCTGGTTTGCTGATTTTCATTTTGCTGCTCATCCTCTCCCTCACATTCCCATCTTCCCCCTCCCATTCCTCTTTCATGCCGTTTCACCCCGGTTTCGCCAGACCCGGTCGACTGGAGGTGCAGATCGAAATAGGGTTACCAGACGAGGAGGGGCGAGCGAAGATCCTAGCCATCCATTCCAACAAGATGCGCGAAAACTCCTTCATGGGTGCTGACGTGGACCTCCTCAGCCTGGGTAAGCCAAGCCGAGACCCTTGAAATTCTGGGAGTAAGACAAGGCCTGTCCAGAAAATAGATATTGAGTTCACTCAGCCATTCATTCAATTCCCAACAAGATGCGCGAGAACTCCTTCATGGGTGCTGACGTGGACCTCCTCAGCTTGGGTAAGCCAAGACCTTGAATGAAGGCAAGGCTTGCTCATAGCTTTTGATTTGACTAAATATACGTCCTTGATAACAAGATGCGAGAAAACTCCTTCATGGTTGCTGACGTGGACCTCTCCAGCCTGGGTAAGGCAAGACCTTAAATGAAGGCAAGGCTTGCTCATAGCTTTTGTTTTGACTAGAAATACATTCTTTATAACAAGATGCGCAAAAGCATGGGTGCTGACGTGGACCTCCTCAGCCTGGGTAAGCCAAGCCAAGTCCCTTGAAATCCTGAGAATAAGACATGGCCTGTCCATACAATAGCTTTTGAGTCCACTCAGCCATCCAATCCATTCTAACAAGATGTGTGAAAACCCCTTCATGGCTGTGATGTGGACCTCCTCAGCCTGGGTAAGGCCAAGGAAGGAACAAGGTAGGGGGACGCTTGAGGTTCTGAGTCAACTTAGAAGCCATCTATTCCATTCCAGCAAGATGCCCCAAAAATTCTTCCCTTCCCACTCCCTCTCCCATTCCCCCTTCCCACTCACCTGTCTCTCCCACCCCCACCCTCCACCCCCCTCCCCCCCCACCCAGCTGCTCGCACAAGAACTCCAGTGGAGCATAGCTGGAGGGTCTAGTAAAAAGCTCTGTGTCCTTCGCCTGGTCAAGACAGACGGACCCGTCAAACCTGACCAAGGCTATCAACGAGGACAACACCCAGTGCCCCCCACTCTCTCTCACCCGTTCTTCCCCGTTAGCGGTTCCTTCTTCCACTCCTCCTCTACTCCCATGCCCCTTTCCCCAGCCACACGCACCAAGTACTTCAGTGGGGCAGAGCTGGAAGGACTAGTCAAGAGTGCGGTCTCCTTCGCGCTGTCAAAACAGACAGACCCTTCAAACCTGACCAAGGCGATAGACGAGGACAACATCTGTGTGCCATCCACTCTCTCAACCATATGCCCTTCTAATTCTCCCACCGCCCTCTCCCACCCCCTCTTCCACTTCTTTACCTCACTCCCCTCCACCCCTCCCCCCCGCCCCAGCTGCTCGCACAAAGAACTTCAGTGGAGCGGAGCTGGAAGGTCTAGTAAAGAGCGCAGTCTCCTTCGCCCTGTCAAGACAGACAGACCCGTCAAACCTGACCAAGGCGATAGACGAGGACAACATTCAAGTGATTCCACCACACCCTCCCCATCCCACCACCCCTTTCCCCTCCTCCTTACCAAGACAGACGGACCCCTCGAACCTGACCAAAGCGATAGACGAGGACAACATTCCGGGTGTGCTCTGCTTTCTCAACCGTACCCCTCCTCTCCTGGCCTCTTCTCCCACCCCTCTCTCCCACCCCCAGCTGCTCGCACCAAGAACTTCAGTGGGGCAGAGCTAGAAGGTCTAGTAAAGAGCGCCGTGTCCTTCGCCCTGTCAAGGCAGACGGACCCTTCAAACCTGACCAAAGCGATAGACGAGGACAACATTCGGGTGACGATGGTGGACTTCGAAGAGGCGCTCAAGGAGGTGCGGCCGGCGTACGGCGCCAACACAGAGCAGCTCAACATGTACCGGTGAGTCGTGAGTGAGTGGGTTGCCCCTTCACTTGCCACTTGTGCTATATGGAGGTGCGGTCTCAAGGAGGTGCGGTCTCAAGGAGGTGCGGCCTCAAGGAGGTGCGGTCTCAAGGAGGTGCGGTCTCAAGGAGGTGCGGTCTCAAGGAGGTGCGGCCTCAAGGAGGTGCGGTCTCAAGGAGGTGCGGTCTCAAGGAGGTGCGGTCTCAAGGAGGTGCGGTCTCAAGGAGGTGCGGCCTCAAGGAGGTGCGGTCTCAAGGAGGTGCGGTCTCAAGGAGGTGCGGTCTCAAGGAGGTGCGGTCTCAAGGAGGTGCGGCCGGCGTACGGCGCCAACACAGAGCAGCTCAACATGTACCGGTGAGTGCAAGCAACTCCAATTCCTGATTGTGGTGCACTCCAGTCCCAGTCCACATTCTCTCCACCGCCATGTGTTTTTGAGAATTCTCAAAAACACCCTTCAATCCCTGACGGTGGTGCACTCCAGTCCCAGTCCACAGTCCCTCCACCACCAAACCCCCACGCCCAGTGCTGCAAGTGCGGAGCAAGGGCAGCATCTCCCACCGCTCTTGCAGTCTGAATGGCATGCTTCAGTCCCTCACAGCGCACCACCACATCCTCAACAGCCAAGCGCCAGGTGCTGCAAGCAAAAGGAAAGGCAGCACACTCAGCACATCCTTTCCCCCTTCCCCCTTCCCCCTTCCCCCTTCCCCCTTCCCCCTTCCCCCTTCCCCCTCCCCCCTCCCATTCGTGCTTGCAGTCTGAATGGCATGCTGCAGTCACTGACAGCGCACCACCACATTCTCTCCACCGCCAAGTGCCAGGTGCTGCAAGTGCGGAGCAAGGGCAGCACACCCAGCACATCCTCCCTCCTTTCTCCCATCCCCTCCCGTCCCCTCTCTCAGTCTGAACGGAATGCTGCAATCACTCACAGCCCACCACCACATTCTTTCAACGGCCAAGCGCCAGGTGCTGCAAGTGCGGAGCAGCGAGAGAACGCCCCTGCTGACATGCCTGCTGGAGGGGTCACCAGGGAGGTGAGCATGGCTGGGAAGGAGGGGGGGTTGAGGGGAATGGGGAGATGGAGTGTGATGGGAACGTAAATGCAACTGATCACCTTTTTTTCCGGAAACACAAATGCAACTAGAATGTAATTTTGCATTTGTGTTTCCACCCACTCCGCTTCCACTGCAGCGGGAAGACCGCTCTTGCTGCAACCATCGCCATGGAAAGCGGTTTCCCTTTTGTGAAGATGGTACGTGGCTTTGCATATTTCCCTTGCGTCTTTCGATGCAAACAAGGTTAATTCCGTCTCTCAACTTGTTTGCAAACTTAATTGCGTTTGTGTATGCACCATATCACCATATCACCATATCACCATATCACCATATCACCATATCTCAAGACCATCCTTGTCACCTCGTTGCCTTGTCACCTCACTCCTTGCTACACTGCCACCTTAACATCTCGTTCTACTCATGTCATCGTCTATTTCCTTTTTGGTTTTACGTATTTCCATTCTGTTATGTTTTGATCCCTCTCTTTCCCTTATTGGCAAACCAGATCTCAGCTGAAACGATGGTGGGCATGTCAGAGCCGTCCAAATGTTCAGCTATAGCCAAGGTGGGTGGGTGACCTCTTACTGGGTGAGTACTGTCAAGAAACGGACCTTGTATCTGTTTAGACAGACAGGGAACCAGCAGACACAATGGTGGGCATGTCAGAGCCGTCCAAATGTTCAGCTATAGCCAAGTGAATGCTGAAATGTGCTGTCAAAAGGGGGGAGTTCGTCTTCTTAGTCGATTTAGCACAACAGATATCAGCGGAAACGATGGTGGGCATGTCTGAGCCATCCAAATGCTCTGCTATAGCCAAGGTGAGTGAACGTTTTTACTGGTAGATCCAAGAAAAGGTCAACTGAGTCAACTTAAAAAATCATCGTTGATGAATGTGGTTGACTGATTTGTCACAACTGGCACACGTGTAGTACCCCATGTTGTACAATAGGTATTTTCTTTGCTTAGCCACGTGGTGACAAATCAAATACCAGTGGAAGCATTGGTGGGCACATGCACTCCTATCCTATCCCATCCCTCTGTCCTCTCTACAAACTTCCCTCCCTCCTTCAATTCTACAAGTGTTTGTCAACGCATGCAAGCCTGCATTCAGCGTCGTCATTCTAGACATAAAGCGCCTCATCAGACTCACCTCAACCCCCCACTGCCAACCTACCTCTCCCTTATCCAATTGCATCCCCAACAGGTGTTTGACAACGCATACAAGTCTGCCTTCAGCATTGTCATTCTCCATGACGTAGAGCGCCTCTTTGAGTATGTCAGCATCGGCTTCTGAGGCATACCAAAATTTTCCATTGCGTTCATCCTCCTTTCCCCACACCCGCAGGTGTTTGACGATGCGTATAAATCCGCCTTCAGCATCGTCATTCTCGATGACATAGAGCGCCTCTTTGAGTATGTCAGCATCGGCTCTTGGATACCTATCCTCCCCTCAATCTACCCACTTGCGCTCCCACCCGTTACCCCTTCAGGTGTTTGACGACGCATACAAGTCGGCCTTCAGCATCGTCATTCTGAATGACATAGAGCGCCTCTTTGAGTATGTCAGCATCGGCCTCTGAGGCGAAAAATTGCAGCCGCCACATGCTTTCCCACATCCTCAAGAGCCCACATGCTTTCCCCGTCCCCTATCTACGCACTTCTATGCTTACTCCCTGACTTCAGGTGTTTGACGATGCATACAAGTCCGCATTCAGCATCGTCATCCTTGATGACATAGAGCGTGTCTTTGAGTATGTCAGCATCGGCCCGCGCTTCTCCAACCTCGTGCTGCAGTCGCTGCTCGTGCTCGTCAAGAAGCTTCCCCCTGAGGTGAGATGGGTTTGTCAATAGTCAGGCCCACACCCCACACACCACCTCCCCTCCCTGCCTGGCTTCTCCAACCTCGTGCTGCAGTCACTGCTCGTGCTCGTCAAAAAGCTTCCCCCTGAGGTACGAAAAGCAGGGGTATGCCTCCCAGTGTTAGTCCCCCTCAGATAGGTTGGAGTGGTGCCCTTTGGCCCGCGCTTCTCCAACCTCGTGCTGCAGTCGCTGCTCGTGCTAGTCAAGCGGCTCCCCCCTGAGGTATGTTAATACACTCCCATCCCTCCTAGTGCCACCACCACCACTGTCCCTCCCTGCCCGCGCTTCTCCAACCTCGTGCTGCAGTCGCTCCTCGTGCTCGTCAAAAAGCTCCCCCCTGAGGTGAGAGGACCTCCCTGGCACTCCATTCCCTTACTTCCCACCCCTCCTGCCCTCGCCTACCCCTGCCACCAAATCCCACCACCACCCTCCAATCCTCCCCCCTCACTTATCTTCTCCAACCTCGTGCTGCAGTCGCTGCTCATGCTCTTCAAGCAGCTTCCACCAGAGTTAACAAGGAGCTCCACAGGTCATGGACCTCCACAGGTCATGGAGCTCCACACCACAGGTCATGAGAGGTCATGAGAGCACAAACACCTTTCCCACCGCTGCTCTTCCTTCCCACTGCCCCACTTCTCCACAGGTCATCATGCTCTAGTCCCTGCCTTGTCAAGAAGCTTCCTCCAATCCCTCCCTCCTCCCATCCCATCCATCCACCCTCTTCCTCCATCCTCTTGTGAGGCGCCTCAAAACTGTTTAGGCGACTTTTGAGGCGAAGCCTGTAATGTGATTGCGAATCACTAGTCTACCCTTGGGCTAGCTCGAAGGGCATCCTCCTTCCCGTACTCCCACCTCCCACTTTTTCCTCCTTCCACCTCTTATTCCCTCAGGGTCACAAGCTCTACGTGATTGCAACCACAAGTTCCTCCGAGGCTCCTCAGGAGGCCATGCATCTCTCCTCCTGCTTCATTCACCCCCTACACTTCCCACCCTCCCTCCTCCCCCGCCCCCGCTCCCCTCCCCCTACCCCCTTATCTTATCGCCCTCAGGGTCACAAGCTGTACGTGATCGCAACCACCAGTCTCCCCGAGGCTCTTCAGGAGGCCATGCACCTTTCCTCCTCCTTCAACACTGTCCTCACCGTGCCCACACTGTCTCGCACCGAGACCAAGGCGGTGAGTTGCCTTGCCTCCTGCAGCATAAGGTATATGGTAAATTGTATGGAAGAACAAGTCTCTCTTCAGGAGGCCATGCACCTGTCCTCCTCCTTCAACACTGTCCTCACCGTACCCACCCTTTCCCGCACCGAAACCAAGGTGGTGAGTTGCCTTCCCCTTCCTCCAGCATAGCGTATAAGGGTCATTGGGTGGGGTGAACAAGTCTCTCTTCAGGAGGCCATGCACCTCTCCTCTTCCTTCAACACTGTTCTTTCTCACCATGCAGACGTTGTCACGAACTGAAACCAAGGCGGTGAGTTGCCTTGTTTTGGAACCTCCAGTGCTTGAAGCATATGATTTCGCCACTACCATCAACGATCTGATTTCTCAATCAACCATCACACTCTAACCTCCCTTATCTCTTTGTCTACAACTCCCTTTTTTTCAATTGCCCCCCTCCTTGCAATGTCACATGCCCAGGTCACTGCTGTCGATATCCTGCCTGCCCTGTCAACCCTCACTGCCTTTATCCCCTTACCCTCCATCCATCTTTCTGCCCGCCATATCGTTATGCCTGCCCAGGCGTTGAGGGAGCTAGACGTGTTTGAAGCAGACCATGTGGGCACTGTCGTCAACGCTCATTCTCACTCAATCCCCACTCTCTGACTCCCCACATTTTCCAACTCTCTCTTCCTCCTTGATATGTTACTATGCCCAGGCACTGAGGGAACTGGATGTGTTTGAAGCAGACGATATCGACACTGCTGTGTATGCCCTTTACTTTCTACCCTCACTCCCTATCTTCCCTCGCCCTCCATCCGCCCTTCTGCTTGCTGTATCACCCTCCACAGGCTCTGAGGGAGCTGGACGTGTTTGAAGCAGATGATATCGACACTGCTGTTGATACCCTGCCCTGCCAACCTTCACTCCCTATCCTCCCTCACCTTTCATTCGCCCCTTTGCTTGCCGCATCACTCCACCCGCCCTCCCAGGCACTGAGGGAGCTGGACGTGTCAGACGATATCGACCCTTCTGTGGATGCCTTCACTCTCTACCCTCACTCCTATCGTCCCTCACCCTCCATCCGTCCCTCTGCTTGCTGTATCACCCTCCACAGGCTCTGAGGGAGCTGGACGTGTTTGAAGCAGATGACATTGACACTGCTGTGGATGCCCTTCACTCCACAGTTGAAGAGGTGAGCTTTGCACCGCACCACAATGCACCGCACTGTACCGCATTGGATTGGAGGTGCTGGATATGTTTGAAGCAGACAACATTGACACGGCTGTCGATGCCCTTCACTCCACAGTGGAAGAGGTGAGCTCTTCTGCACCGTGCTGCACCGGTATGCACTGCACTGCACCTTATTGAGGCAGCTGATGTGTTTGAGGCAGACGATGTTGACACGCCTGTCGATGCCCTTCACTCCACAGTGGAAGAGGTGAGCTCTGCTGCACCGTGCTGCAACGCAATGCACCGCAATGCACCGCACTGCACCTTATTGAGGGAGTTGGATGTGTGTTTGAAGCAGACGACATTGACACGGCTGTCGATGCCCTTCATTCCACAGTGGAAGAGATGAGCTCTTCTGCACCGCGCTGCACTGGTATGCACTGCACTGTACCGCATTGAGGGAGCTGGATGCGTTTGAAGCAGATGACGTTGACACGGCTGTCGATGCCCTTCACTCCACGGTGGAAGAGGTGAGCTCTGCACCGCACTGCATTGCACTCCACCGACGCTGCACGTCACTGCACACCTAACTGCACCGCACCGCATTGCATCGCACTGCACTGCACTGCACTGCACTGCACTGCACTGCACTGCACTGCACTGCACTGCACTGCACTGCACTGCTCAATGTTGTCTCCCCTCTACCGTGAGATGACCATCAAGAAGCTCCTCATGCTCATCGAGATGGCCTCTCAGGGCCCCACTGCTCCCTTTTCAAAGGGATAGCCTCAGATTTGTCCTGTTCTGTTCCTCTCCACCTCCCCTCTCCCTCACCATCAGATGACCATCAAGAGCTCCTCATGTTCATAGAGATGGCTTCTCAGGGCCCCACTGCTCCCCTCCATCATTCACATGCCATTGTTCCTTCCTTTCCAACCTTCCAAATCCCTCTCTTTCCTCTTCAGATGACCATCAAGAAGCTCCTCATGTTCATCGAGATGGCCTCACAGGGGCCCCACTGCTCCGCCTTCATATACTTTGCCTCAATACCGTTCCGTTCTTTCTTTTGCTCCCCTCATCCTGCTCTCTCCTCTCTTCCCTCTTCAGATGGCAATCAAGAAGCTCCTCATGTTCATAGAGATGGCCTCTCAAGGCCCCACTGCTCCCGGCCAGCCCAGACCCAAGATCGACATCAATTTCCTGTGCGAGTGCCTCCAGGACCTATCATAGGGTTAGCACATGTGTGAAGGGGAAAGGGAAGGGGAAAAAATGGTCATGTGTAAATGAACAATGCCCAGGCAGCCCAGACCCAAGATCGACATCAACTTCCTGTGCGAGTGCCTCCAGGACCTATCATAGGGTTAGCACATGTGTGAAGGGGAAAGGGAAGGGGAAAAAATGGTCATGTGTAAATGAACAATGCCCAGGCAGCCCAGACCCAAGATCGACATCAACTTCCTGTGCGAATGCCTCCAGGACCTATCGTAAAGCTGGCCGATGGGGGATGGGGAGAGGGGAATGGGGAGAGGGGGATGGGGAGAGGGGTGCGGTATGTGACTGAGAAATGGCCAACCAGTCCTGCCAGCCAGACCCGAGAGATCGAAATCGACTTCCTGTGCGAGTGCACCAAGGACCTATCACAGAGTTAGGATGAGGGATGGGGGCATATCGATGGTCGACCTGTGGGAGGGTATGTGGCTGAATGTCCACTACTCCCGGGCAACCCAGATATAAGATCAACATTGGCTTTGCGAGTGCCTCAAGCAAACCTTTACTTCTTCAGTTGCTGCTGCTTAACATTTCCTGAACCCTAACTAGGACCTTTATCATTGACGAGGGAACTTCTCAGATGGCACAGGCAGAGAGGCATGCTGATATCAGTTTATATTTTACAGTTTGACTTCAAACTTCTCCTCAAACTGCTCGTCTGTACCCCAAAGAAACTGCTGCAAGCACACTGCTCTCCTTGCCACCTCCAGATTCACAAGCTGCTGCTCTGTAACAGCCCTCCCTCCTGGCTCATCACTCCCTAAGAAACCCCCAAGAAAAGATACACTGCCACAATCCTTCCCTTGGCATTGCTGCTCTTGCCTATCACCCGCTCCTTCATTGCTGCTCTTGCCTATCACCCGCTCCTTCATTGCTGCTCCTTTGCTCTTCCTTCCGCTCCGCAATCAAAACTCTCTACCCCCTCCACTTTGTCAGACACACAACCCAGCTTGCCCCTCTCTTTCCCAGATGTCGTCAAACCACCCCTTCCGCCTCCAACACTCGTCCGACTAACCATCTCGTGTGCCAACCGCATAGCCCATTCAATCCTCTCTACCCCCTCCACTTTGTCAGACACACAACCCAGCTTGCCCCTCTCTTCCCCAGCTGTCGTCAAACCACCCCTTTCACCTCCAACACTCGTCCGACTGACCACTCGTGTGCCACAACCGCATAGCCCATTTGCACTAGCAGCAGGCCGGCGGCAATCCCAAGGGCCATGTTGGGGAAGAGGCGGGAGAGGGAGAGGTGGAAGAGGGCGGAGAGGGCTGCAGACAGCATGGCAGCATCGATCCTGAGGGAGAGAAAGGCAGGACAGGGTATAGTGAAAGTAGGAAATAGGGGAGGAGAGAAGATGGGAAAGAAGAGTGACATTGAATTGACGCGAGAGAGTGTGGAGATGGAAACGGAGGAATTTATCAAACCCAAAAATACGGTACTAGTGGAGCCTTTAAAACCTCACTACCGGGCCTCCTGCTAAGCCTCTCACCTGCCGCGATTCTCTTGCAGGGCTGTGATCATCAGTGCTCTGTACAACAGCTCCTCTGCTACAGCCGAGGACGCCACCACCCACAGGAACAGCTGCAGGCGTCTCTTGCAGGGCTGTGAGCAGCAGCCCACCTCTCACCTGCCGAGCCTCTCTTGCAGGGCTGTGAGCAGCAGCCCACCTTTCACCTGCCGAGCCTCTCTTGCAGGGCTGTGATCAGCAGTGCTCTGTACAACAGCTCCTCTGCTACAGCCGAGGACACCACCACCCACAGAAACTGTAGCAGGTCCAGCAGGGCGAGGGCCACACCAGCTGTAGCGGCCACACCCCCGCCGACTTTTGACGCGCCTCAAAACTCCTCTGCTACAGCCGAGGACACCGCCACCCACAGTAACAGCTGTAGCAGGTCCAGCAGGGCGACGGCCACACCAGCTGTAGCAGCCACACCCCCGCCGGTCCCATCAGGCAGCAACAAAGGAGGACATAGCAACAGAGATGTATCACTCACGCTATCCCCTCCTCCTCTTGCTTCTCCTGCTCCTGCTCCTGCTCCTGCTGCTGCTGTTAGCTCTGGTAATCCCCCTCCCCCCTCCCCTCCAGCTCTAGTTATGGGAGAAACGCAGTTCCATAGAACACGACCCCTCACCGCCCCTGCCACAATCCCCTTCCACCAGATATCGTTTCCCCCCGTTAACGCTACCTCTCCCCATCCCCGGAAGATTAACCCTACAGTGTGACCCCAAACTTCTCCTCGAACTGCTTGTCTGAACAGTGGAGAAACTGCCGCAAGCACACCGCTTTCCTTGACTGTTGAGAAGTCTCTAAAGTTGACCCCTCCACTCCTTCCACTTCGTAAAGAAGTGAGGAAGCAGAACCCAGCTTGCTCCTTTGTTCGCCAGCTTCATTTGAAACAACCCTCCCGTCTCCACTCATCCGATTAGCCATCTCGCGTGGCACAACCACATAGCCCGTGCGCACCAGTGCCACATGCCGCGGTCTGATTCGCCGGTCCAAACTGTACCCAAGAAGGAATGGAAAGGCAAGCACCTCCATTATAGAGAGCCCCATGTCCCGTTTGAAGTACTCCAGCTTGGGCTTCAAGTTTGCTTTCCAACTGTAATAGATAGACGTCGGGTACCTCACAACCAGATCCACCACCAACCGTTGAGCCATACATCTCTCGACACTTAGTGCTCGGGAATAGATTTCCCCTTCCAAACATTTACCTCTATCACCTTCCCCCAACCTTTGCGTCCCACTTCCTCCACTGCTCTCCAATGCCTCTTCCACTTCTCGCACAAGCTCTCTGAAACTTTCCCTCAGGCCATCTTCACTAGACGCCAGTAGCAAAGGAAATTGTTTCACCACCCGCACAGCATTCTCTCGGCCAATCAAATCAGCCAATACCGCCACCTTGCCTTGCACATTCTCCTTCGAAAGTGTCAGTACCACTGGATGACTCCTCGCCACTCTTCCTGTTGCCTCCTCCCCCACCAGCTCCACAAAGAACTGGAGCTTAGCTAAGAGAGTTTCTGAGCTGAGACAGACGATGCTGGGGGCACGCTGAAGCACATTGGTCGCAATGCTGGGCGTGCCTGGGGGAGTGAAGGACTGGAGAATGGCGATATTCTCTGCCATGCGATACGGAGGAGCAGAGAAGATGACCGGACAGCTCAGGATAAGCTTGCTTAAGTGGCTCTTGTCCAGATGCGGCTCGTTCAGTTGCTGCTTCGGGAGGCTTGTGCTGGTGCTATCTGTTTCCACCTTCCCTCCAAACTCCGCCGTGAAATAAGCTGATAGCATCTGAAGCTGAGTATTCACTGCCTCGTTACTCCGAGTCAAGATGGAAGGATATTTCTCTATCACCACACCCACCTTGTCCACAGGAACCCCTGCTTTTTCCACCAGAATGTCCAGGTTCATTGAACGAGCCTCGGAGCAGACTAAGCCCTGTCCGTGCACGAGCACAAAGGCCAATCTGCTTCGGCGGACGCCTTGAGCCAAAAGAAACTCAAGGGTGTTTTGAATCTGTGGCAGGGAGACTCGAAGCCAGGCTGGTTCCCTCACAGTGATGCGCACGATGTCAGCATCCGAAATGCCGTATGACTGGAGGAGACGGACACGTGGCAAGAGGTCATTGGTGGGATTGGAACGGAGGAGTTGGGGCTTAGAGGTGAGGAGGGAAGCGACAGCGGAAGGGGAGGAGATGCCGAGGTGGGAGGAGAAGAAGCGGTAGAGGGAGAGGAGGGAGGAGGGAGATACTACCCGCGGGCTGTTGAGTGGAGGAGGGGGTGTGGGAGGAGATGTGGTGGGTGGTGCGTGCTCCTCACACGCTTCTGCTTCTGCTTCCTCCTCCTCCTCCTCCTCATCGCCCCCCTCCTCCTCATTCACTTTCCCCAACCCCTCTTCGTCCTCGCTGTTTCCTATCCCACTCCCCCACTCCTCCACCTCCTCTCTAACGATCTGAGGCCCGAATCTCTCCCTCAGCACGCCAGCAATCACTGCCACTGCCTCCTCCTCCTCCTTGCAGCCTTTCGTCCCGTAGCTCTTCCTCCCGCCTCCCTCACTCTTTCCCCCCACATTTCCTGCTCTCCTTTTACCACCTCCCGTTTCCCCCCCCTCTTCCCCTACTCTCCTGATGCCCCCCTGACTTTCTTTCCTACTCCCCCTCTCCTCGCCCTTCACTGTACGCGTTTTAAGCTCCGCTTGCAACTCTACAAAAGGGTTGATTTTGGAAAGTGATTTTGACCCAGAAATAGCAGTCCCCGCCTCAAAAGCTTCTGCGTTTGCTGGCCTGGAAGACGCACCAGCGGCAGACCATGCGGCGAAGCTTCGGACATGGGAAGATAATGACTCTTGAGGCGACTCAAATCTTCGGCCTGCGTTGCGGATTTGACACGACGCGTTTCGCGCAGGTTCGTTTCGATCCGATCCAATCCGATCGAGGCTTGTTAAGGAAGGAAGCGAATATCGCGATGCTATTCCGAGTCGGTGCGTTTGAGATGTCTCACGAGCAATATATCTGGAAATTCGATCTACGAATGGCCGTGACGCATGCGGTAGGACTTGCCATAGCGATCGGCGAGCTGATCTACGCGAGGCGGCGTAGAAGTTCATGATTTCGTTAATTTCGTTGCATTCGTCTAATTCATCTAATCCGTCGAGATCTTCGTATATACCTGGACCCTCGCTGACCTTTGGCTGGCTGACGACGCAAAACGTGAAGTCAGCTTCGTGAGCACGGATTAGAGAATCGAGCTATGAATAATATCTCAATGGGTGATTGATGCCTCGAGCTCTTATTTAGCTTGAATGGCTATCTAGCTTCATCCGTCGAGCATCTAGCTAGCTGCTCTATGACGGGCGATCCCCCCCGATTTAATTTTGGAAACCCGAGTTCCCAGGGACTACCGACGAGACCAGTGTGACAATCACAAAGGTCAAGCGGTGCGGCTTGATCAGGTGCTGTGCGTTT